ATCCGACGAGATATGCATAGCTAACTTCTCCCTGAAAGTGGTTAAAAAGGAGTCATTCTAAGGGTGTAATCCTGTTGATACCCGTTGAGGAAGACGAATAGAAACCACTAGCGCCTGTTCGGAACACTGAGCGGTTGGCGGCACTGCAGCTGAAACAAGGTTTTGCACGCACTGACATAGCGCTGCAACAAATATTTCATAAATAACTTGAGCTCAGAAAAAGAAACATCTTTGAGAAACTCCACGAGAACTTTTGTCACTAAGCAATTTACCCAAATTTTCCCAAAATTACTGAAGTATCCACTTCAACCAAAAGACAGTGAATAAAAAGGGCTGGCAAACATCTGAGGCGTGTTTTTCGATTATACGAAAGTAGATCCATCTTATAAATTAATTTGAAGGGAGATATGAAAAATATAGTCTGTTTAAAAATTGCAACCTTTACAGACGTTGACGCTCAGTGGACAAATTGAAACACACATTGACGACCTCCGGGAATTTAGGGCGACGTAGGGAAACATCATGGATGCCTATTCGAATCTCTCGATGACTAAAGGAATCACGGATACTAGGTGGCAGCTGTACTATCCGTAGTAACTAGATTCTGTAATCCCCAACATAGCGTATTAATTTTGTTCATCAAATGGCTAATAAGACATTCTTGTAGTCATACCAGCGTAACAATCCACAATCCATTCTGGATTACAAAAATATTTCGATGGATATTACGAAAATTGTGAACAAGAGTGCCTTCCAATAGATTACTCCATTCTGTACAAAATTCCATATTGGTATTTGTCATTCAGGCTCACACACATCTATTAATGATAGCTCATCTAACTTCATTCAGACACACTCCTTTTCCATTCTTCAGTGAACATTATTAAATTCGGCACGAATCTTTCTGGCATGAAGTATGCAATATAACACCTGAGTCGAAATAAAAACCCTCCACACACAGACGCACCATTTAAGTATTGAAAAAGTAATGGCGGATTTTGACAGGCAGCGTTGAAATATTACAAATGTGCTTGGGCAAGACTTTATTTATAAACATAAATAAGGAGCATCAAAGTCTACAAATGCTCACCGACAAGACAGCACATTTATTTCGCTACTATAAAATCCTAATATTCAAGTGATGAGAAAACTTTCGGAAGCACTTCTAGATGAGTCTTTGGATGCTGAACACTTTCTCACTAAGTAGTTTTCGAAATTTTCGAAAAGAAAAAAAAGAAAAAATTGTGGAAAATGGCAGACGGATGGCTAGAGTCCGATAGGTATGCTGGATGAAGTAAAGCTGTGTAGACCGATTCGTTCCGCTTCCGCAATATGCAGTCATGCGTTCTTGTGTACGGGGATTGGACATCTTCTTTCGACAAAATTTGAGTACATATGCCACAGTTGTGCTTCATTTCATCGAATTCGTCACATTACTCTACTGTTAATACATTACCGCGGCTTAGAAAGCCAACTGATTAGGCTGTAGACCAACAACTACTACCGTATTCCATTCTCGGTAAAAAAATTCCTCCTGGCCAGGTGTCTTCGTATCGGTTCAATTCGGTCACTGTGCTGAACCTTATCAGCTGTCTTTATAGGACATATTCTCCATTGCACGTCACGAAAAGATCGAAAAATGGTTGTTCCTTGTTTTATAAAAAAGTACAAGGCCGACTTCATAACTACGAGGTTTTTTTACCCGTCGTTCAGTTTTACTTTTAACAATTTATCGAACTCTTTCTCCTTTACAATTTCTACCATATGACGAAATGCCACTGGTTGAAGAATGAAGAGTGAGCTCTTCGGAAATATTTCGATTTGTTTTTAAGAGCTCATCAACGATTAGCAGCTTCAAGTGCTCGGCGGAAACTGCTCATAACGCTCTTCGTCAAAAAGGCTTATATTTTCGGCACGAAACATTTTGAACTATTTGCACATTTATGCTGAGGAGGGCATGCTAGCTCATATTTTGTCTACGCTTCAAGCCGCTTTGAGTTAAGCGATAAATAGCTAGTACCAAATGTTTTATAAACATAGTGACATAATCCACCCTTGGTTTTGGTCCAACCTGCAGCTATAGGTAGTTAAATAGTGTGTAGTTAAATAAATCCATACGCCCATAAATATGATTTCGTCATACATTTTGGAATCCTCTCACGACCATCACAACTCAGTTGTTTCACTGTGTCAAAGGCCTCGTGTCTATGACGCGGATCTATTCTGGTCGGCGTACGTTGTCGTTCATAATGACCTTGTCACAGTTGGTTAACGTTACTGATAAACATATCGACTCACTCGTCCTATAGGTAATGGCTCTCTCGAAATTCTCCGCATTGTCATGCAATTCATGTCGTCATTCTTTTTCTTTTCGCCGCCATATGATTGGCACTTCTGTCCAGATGTGCATATCTGCAGCGGATGCTGAGTATTCTCATTAGCCAGCCACACATCTGTCGCTGATACTGTGGAATTGCTCGAACGAGCACCTCAGTTTAAGTTTAATTCAATGTTACGCTTACGCCATATATGAGCTGTATCTTATCGATAGATAGAATGCACAAATTCTATTATCAAGGCTTTTCTTCGTTCAGCTCAGTTTGCACTCATCTGTGTATGTGTGTACCTAAGCACATGTGAGACAGGTCAGCTGTGCTTACCGTCATATGAGAGATCTGCACCCACCATAAAACATTATTTCCACCTTGTTCCACATTAAATGGATAGACTACTAAAGAATTGATTTTGTATTGCTCATTCGCCTAGCGTTTCATATTTCACCCAACGCTGTTTAGTGTTTAGTTAGCCAGCAGAGCTAGCGGTGAGTTACGACTTTAATGTGGAAACACATAAGAAAGGGCTTTTTCAGATCGAGAAGCCAGAATCCGCAATATTAGACTCGGTGTACTTCTTTATTCTAATAGATTTTATATCAGGTAGACCTTATCTCTTTAGACTCATAAGATCCACCTTTATTCTTTCACCGAGTAAGTGCAAACTGACCGTTTGCCTTTCTTCTAAGTTCTCATGTGAACGGTGTGTGCAGTAGGGCATTACCAATCTGTAACATGATTTTCATGGTATAAACTTGTACTTCAGCATTTTCAATCGCTAAACGTTTGTGTTTCTGTCTGCAGGCCACGCCGATGAAGGCAGCTGGAGCTCGATACCTGTTCACCCTTTACGATCTACGATTTTTACGATTTACGATTTTTTTCCCAGAACTATTGGTTAGAAACCTAGACCACTTCATGCTTCCTCTTTGCTTTCCGCTTGCTGATGGTTTATTTCCAAGTGTACTTTTTTCTGAGATTGAAAGCGGATGAAAGAGAAGGAAAGAGAGACTGCGCGTGTGTTGCTTAAGGAGTTCATTACTCTTCTGATCCCGCCCTCAGCGGAATTACACTCGTTTTCATTTGCAGCAGTTGGTTTTAATTAAATAAGTTGTAGTGCTACGATATTCTGCTGTATGTATTTCATATTCAAATGGGCTTTTTCGTACCTATTATCCAACAACTGTAATAATTTAAATGAGAAATAGTCAAGTTTACGTCTACAATTTAGGTTAGCACGGCTTTTTAAATTGTCAATTAAACCACTTATTTCACATAATTGAATAAATATCTTAACCATGCAATGGTTTGTAGTGGTCTAGCAATGCATCAAGTCTATGCTTCTTTTGTCCCATTCTGCGACTCCGATGTGATTCGCTTGGTTCGCAGAGTGTTGAGGATAGAACTGGTGACCATGTTCATTATAGGTTACCTTAATTAGCACAGTACTCGTGCTTATATATATGCATATATATGTATATATAACAATTCTATATATATATATATATATATATATAGTATATGTGTGCATATATACGTATATAGCTTCCATGCATTTAGTGTATTCATATAACTCGTTTTGTATTGTTACTTGCTACGGAAGCCGCAGTGGTCGAGGTGGTATTGTTAGTGGCGGCTATGAGTCATTGCTGAGTAGAGTGAGTAGTGATGTGTGGTAAGAGTGTGCTCACATTGCCATCTGGTGGTGGTTATTAGCTGATGTAATACGATTACTTTGTATCAATTCCGGAGAATTACTTATCATTGTTATTTCGCGGCGACATATAGGACACGATAGTGAGAAAGATGAAAGAAAAATCAACGTCCTACACAGTGAATTCTATGATGACGTATGCTCGGTCTTATCTCTTATCAATAATTTTTGGATGGTCGCCGTGACCGTTATCCATCAAGCATCAGCATCTTTGCCTTCATGTTTGGATCACTAGGCAATCCGGAGCCCTGGGATGACGAGCGTATTGATCGAGAGCGCGAGTGGCGTTTTCAATTCTTTCACACTCGTATAGTGATTCTGCACAACGATGAACGTTAAGTCATTTTTCTTGTTGATATGAAAGAGACGTCTTGACTTTTACTCGCCTAGAAATGAGGTTAAGAATGACAGAACATGTCATCGACAACTTCAACTCTCAGTTCCAGTTTGTACTGGACTTATCTTAGAGATCATGATCTCTTAAGTCCAGCGCTATCAATTCTCACCTTTCAATGCATGATTGATTTCTGGTTGCACGAACCAGTTCTCCTATATTACACACAGTCGTTTTTTCTCCATTTATACTTCACGCCGTTTTTTTCCTGAGGTGTTCCATCTTATTGAACTTGGGAGTTCTTTTCAAAGTCTTGAAAACTCTTGCTAGTCGAGTTTTCAACGTAAAATCCTTCAAGAAATGACTCAATCTTCATATTTTCTTCGAGAAAGCGAACGAAATCGTTGCAGTGAGAGGAAAACACAGCGCATATCCCACGGCAAGGCCGCGGCCCAGTGCCGAATGGGCACGCGGCTGTTCACCCTGCTGCTACCCTAATCGCTTGCAGTCCACATTCCAGATTTTGCTCTCCTAGAGCTTTCAATCCTATGGCATTCTCTCTTGATGTTGTGTACCGTTTCATCGTCTGTTCCTTTTCTTAAACAAACTATTTTCATGTATGTCCGAGGCCTGGGTAACACTTGCTACGAACGATGGCTACGCTCAGGGAGCACTGGTATTGGCTCATTCCTTGAAGGCCTCTGGCACGACCAAAAAGCTGCACTGTATGGTGACGAACTATGTATGCTACTTTTTTTCATTTCTTTAAAATGAACAGTTAGTATTATTTAATTGCTAATGTTACTTGTTGGCAGTTAATATGCGGTCATTATGAAGTGTGCGATTTTAACCCCAGAGTTCAACAAATTTACAACAGTGTGAGTAACACATGGCTCAAATGCGTAGATACATGTGGGAAGCCATATGGCTCATTTCCTCCCACATTTCTTTCCTCAAACAAACTCTTTTTTTTGCGCGATACCTGAAATTAATGCAATTACCAACGTGTTAGAAGCTTAAATATCTTATTTGCATAGTTTTATATCTTCGATAGTGTGGTCGAAAGGACTTTTTGATTGGCCGTTTGCTGCCGCATGTGTCTTCACGAAGGAACTTTCCAAATTGTTTGAAAAATCGTTGATTTGTTGAGTCAAATGAATGATGGAGATTTTATGCTTCAACTAGTTAACATACTGGGTTAAGACTACCACTTGCGAGACGTTCGTTGCCCTTTAACGGAATCGATCTTTTTCTGCTGATCAATAAGGATCAAAAGTTTTGTGATGTTTGACGCATTCTGTCGACTTCATAAGTGTGCCTCTTTGCTGCTTGTTTTCCCAGAATTCAAGAAATTACAGTGAGTGATTACCCCTTCTGAGACCGAAAAAAGCATTACAACCTCCTTTTGATGTCACAGTTCGGTAGTGTTCCGTTACCATTCGCCGAGTTGTCTTTACTGCGCAGAAGTGTCGGAAACGAAACTTTGTAACCTCGGTCATCTTACCTTCCATCCTCTTCATGGGGTACTTAATCATTGTGTTTTAAGCATATAAATTCAGTCGAAATGTCTCGAAAAGAATGTTTCACTAACACAAAGCCTTTCCGTAAGCTCTTAAATCTTCATGCTTGGATTAGTCACTAGCAGAATGTTGTAACCGATCCTTCTCATCCAGAAAGCTCTTATTTCTATTTAAAAAAGCCTTTCAAGGCCTTTCAAGCCAATATTATACGATTTTTTATTATACAATATTATTATTATATATTATTATAGCCAATATTATTATTATATTAGCCAATATTATACTAGGATTGTTAACGACTATCTAACCAAATGTTTTCGTATCTGTAATAGCTTTCTCAGCTCTACTTACAGTTTTGAAATCATATAAAACAAGCTTCAAAATTTTTACTTTCGTTTTAATTTCGACAGTCCTGTCGGACAGAAATACGGAACGAAATTTTTGCTTGAGTGTGCTCTGTAGAACATTCTTCCTTACTCGGATACTTGGTTGGCTCGTCCTCACTGGTTATAAATGCCCCAGCATAATCTCCACTATTTTTCGGAGTTTTTTCTGGTCTAGCCATTGTGGTTCCCTGGAATCCCGAGGACAGAATAGCTAAGCCTGCCCCAAGTCGTCATCACGGCAGGCAGTCGCAGCCCTTGTGGATCAGAGGGAGATTTGCCACCATGCGACTTTGATACCAGGACAGTGGTGGATCCTGATGTTGGTTTATTCTTAGCTGAGCTTCTTGATAGAAATGCCCGAATCCTTCTCAGCTTGGGAAAGTCCGCTTGGGCGACGAACCCCCGCTGTATATGGCAGTCCGACCCCCAAGAACAACTCTCAACCATGATGAGGCTGTAAACCGTTGGGAGAATATAGAACGTTCAAACTTAAAAGTTACATTCGTTTAAAAGTGCTTGGGACTTTCATATTGTTTAGAGTTGGAGACTTCATATAAATAACTAGTACAACGCTGCTACACAGTATCTCAGGTCAGAGATATTCTCTATGACTTTGTTCAAAGCAGAGTTGTTATATACATGAAGTTGATGAAAGGTCGCTAATAGTAAGATCGTTCTGTTTGAATTTTCTGTCGTTAAGGTTTCGGATAGGCTACGTACTGAGCTTGAAGCACAGTTTGATGAAGTGAGTCATGTGGATGTCTTGGATAGTAACGATCAAGTGAGTTTCTTTAAAGTTTTTTTTTTCTCAATTTGGTGTATAGCTGTACAGCTCAGTAACATTGAGTCACATTTGAAAAGTTTTTGGCCACTATTGGTTGTTTCAGCGGCAAGTGTAGTGATTTGTAAAAAAGAACTGTTGGAATAAGAAGTATTTCGCAGCAAAGAAAACTTTTGTTCAGGAGAATCTTGCCCTAATCAATCGACCTGACCTCGGTGTAACGTTTACGAAACTTAACTGTTGGAGATTGGTACAGTATAACAAGGCTGTATTTTTGGATGCAGATACCATGGTAAGGTTTAACGAGGTTTCGCTGGTGATTAACCGATCATGCTTGCTGGTTGAGCGACAATTGTTTACTGATCAGTTAAACTGCTCTTCTTAACATCTTTCATTTTCTTCGATACTTTGTCTGCAAGGGGCGCAGTGGTAGGAGGCGCTGCGACACGGACGTGGGACCGATTCCCGCGCCCGTGGCCCACCAAACCTTCCATCCTTCCAGGATCCGCAAATTGGTACCAGACTTATCTGGGAAGATAGCAGCACTGGGTCGATACATCGATAGGCCACCGTGAGTCATTGTAAAGGCCAGATATGCATTGAATCACCTCCAACGATGGTTAACGAAGTAGAGTGCATGGCGCATCCCTCAGGGATTGATCAACGCCGAGAACTTTATCCTTCTTTTAGCTTTTTTTGCCTGCAAATTATAATGACTTTGACTTCACGTCATTGTCGTTTAAATAGGTGAGAGAAAATACTGAACTGGGAACTTGAATTTTTTAACTGTGATTAGTGTAACCTCTAGTTTATCAAGTAGCGCAGGTAAAATTTTGATGTTTGCATTAAAATTAACGCCAAACAGAGGGATTTGAGTGAGGTATTCTTTGTTGGTAAAGCTTTATTCTTCCTTTTCTAAAATGTATTTTTGATGTAAGCCAGATCGTAGGGAACTAAAACAGCTCATATCACTTTAACCACAAAATAGCATTTTGGAATGTTGTTGTTTTCGATCGCGGTTTCAATCCTTTCTCCTTCTTTATTCAACTTCCCAATCAATGTTGCACATTTTGCACACCACTGATCTGTTTGTCGGTTTGTTGCGCCAGCTATGCAGTGCATCGTAGTTCTGATGTTTTCTTCTTTGTGATAGTTTATTTTCTCTGGCAATTCTAGGTACTGCAAAACGCTGACGAGTTATTTGAGCGACCAGAGTTCTCGGCAGCTCCTGATATTGGATGGCCTGATTGCTTTAACAGCGGCGTTTTTGTCTACGCACCAAGTCTTGAGACATATCGTAGGCTTTATCGATCCCTATTACTATTTATTGCACATTGTTGAATATACACTTTCACACATAAGAAGTAGTTGTAAGAATTCGCTGCAAAATAGATCGATGAGTGATGTTTCTGTTTTGGAATCACTTCGACGCAAATATATGTTTAATGATAAACCAGAGATTAATAATATCCTTAGCTCAAGTCGACTGATATTGAGTAACAGGTCGTCTTCTGGAGTTTGCGTTATCACATGGCTCATTTGACGGAGGCGATCAGGGTCTTCTCAACGAGTTCTTCGCTGGCTGGCGTGATTGGCCTGCAATTCATCGGCTGCCATTCATTTATAACATGACAGCTGGGGTTTTCTACAGTTATGCAGCTGCATACAGAAGGTATGATTTTTGGGACATATGGGTAGTGATCAAAAATCGATCGCTAAAGAAATCTTGAGTAGATTATGAGAACATGTCAAAATTGTCACAGTACACTGCAGATACGGTGCCTCAACGAAAATCGTACATTTCATTGGAGCTGATAAACCATGGCATGGTTCTTCATCGGCTGCTCAGAGTGAGCATTTGGAGAAGTGGAAGCAGATTCATCAGACCAACGTAGCAGCTTATGTAAGTGAAAAAATCCTGAAAAAGAAAACCTAAATATTCAACAATCCACTTTTGATCTGTTATGATAGTTGTCGCACTTCCGTTTTTCTTACACTTCGATAGCTTGAGACAGGGCAAGTGAAAAGTGCGCTCATAGAATGTAGTCGAAGTCCGACCTATGTGCTTGCAGTTTGCACTATGTCGTGTCTTTAACGAGTCAAAATGTTTTTTGCTCCAAATTTAGTAGACTTCACAGGGATAGATTTTTTTTACTTTATCTTTAATAAATGCATGGCTTGTACTATGGTAGTGGTGACTTTACCCTTTTGGTTTCAATGTTTTTGAATGCTGTTTTAAAGACGACTTCATTTTATTCACCACCAACTGGACCAACATCACTTCCGTCGTCACCGAGGCAAGATGCAATGATTCCATTACAAAACTATCCACTGCTATATAGTGCTGATCGCATTGGAACACTACTTCAACAAGCTTTTGATAATGAATATTATCAGAAGTTTCCTGCAATCTCTGTTCAACCTAGCTATGAATCCGTTACGAAGAATTTAGGCCTCAGTTTGGTTTTTGAGCCTGATGTGTGTGTAGCTGTAGAATCCCATGCCTTCGTAGATCATTCCCAATACCTTAGTGAGGATGAAGAGACACGCTGTTCAACAGACGAAGAAATGGCTGTCATCAATGTGAGTTCTGCTACTACGCCATTGCACATGTTGCGGCACGGCACATGCTTTTGTTTCGTATCACGCTAGATTTCGGTGCTCGCTTCGCTTTCAGTCGCTCAATTCTTCATCGCGCAACAGCACGATATAAGTCATGTAAAGCCTTTCTGATGAAGTTTAGATAAAACTTGTGGCTGTAAGTTGGAAGTAGCGTGAATCGCTTTTTTGTTGAATGCATGTTGTGCCACCCATTTGCAGTGTTTTATTTACTGGTTTGCAGTTTAGTGCTAACTCAGCGATTGCAGGCTGAAGCGTGTTTCTCGCCTGGATCTATCCAAGAAAAGGTAGGCCAACTAATTGCAGTAATCCACCAGTTACATGGATTTCTTGTTTATGTGAGATCCAAGATTAGGTAGATTTTAATTTTGTATTATTTATAATTATTACGAGCAATATGTGACCAGTCCTAGTGATGTGTTTACAGCGCTGAAAATATGTGAATGATAGATGTCGATTTTTCATGAAGTGTACAAACAATGTCTTGTTATCTGTATGTTTTTACTCCTAGTTTACTTGAATCAATGCATGGAATTAATATTGAGTGATGATTGAAGTAGGGGTGTTTTTTGGTTGTTATTTTCGTTCATCTTTCCTCCATTTTTCTTGATCATTCATGCAACTTCAACTTTCCTTTTAAATTCTACATAGTCATCCTTCAAAACTGGTCAATGCCAGTGGTGGTCGTGATGTTTTCTTTTCTAGATGATCTTCATTTTATTTTTCAGACTCCCTCACCATCCGAAGAAGAGAGGCTCCGTGCTTGGGAATGCGGACAGCCTGATTTTATGGGTCGGGACGCGTTTGCGAATATCCAAGCGGCTCTCGATCGTGCTCTTCAGGAATAGAAACCACTCCACGACTTTCTAACCGATTTTCCAACGGTTATTCCTAATGTTCTGTTCCGCATAACGATTTTACCACAATTTTAAGTTTCATAGGTCTCGTTGTCATGAGCCTATTAAGATACAGTATCCCAGCATAACTAATAATTTTCACGTCTTTTATTCTGCTTTATCTTGGTGCCTGTAGGACGTCTTTTTTTGACAGCGTATTCGTTCTCACGAAGACGCAGTTGCTCAACGAATCTTTCACATAGTTCTTCTAGTCCTCTGCATTCATTACTATCCCGTTCGATACGCCTGTTCAATTTTTGAATTGATACACGTTGGTTAAAAGTTCGGAATGTTACTAAATGTTGATTATATTTATATTAGTGACAATCCTAAACGTTTTTTAAAGACAAATGAGTGGTAGCAGCTTGGTTTAAACAATGAAGTGTCGCAAAAATTCATTATTTCTCCGGATTTGGTTTCCTAGTGTTGGCGTCAGTTTAAATTTTGTGACTAATCGGATGGAATATTTAGTCAATAGCAAATGTCATAGGAATTATCAAACCGTAGAACCCTCGTAACAACAGGTTTTTTCATACTATGGATCCGTCCAATTCTAGGTTGGTTTTAAGTATTTCAACGCCCATCCTCACCAAATATTCAAATGATTCCTCGAGAGATATTCAAGGATTCTTTGTTCGCTGTGGTTACTGATATCGAAACGTACGATTCTTCCTTTCCTTTTTTTCATGTCAATTATTGAAGGGAAAGACGATCTTATTTAGGCGACCTAGTTGGTCAATTTGATGAGTGTCGTCGTACGGTCATCCATTACTTCTGATGTATACCAGACTGGTATCTTTCAATAAACTCTTTCTCTGTGTACAGGTACTTGATGCTAATAAATAACTTCTAGTTGCCCGTCACAAGAGTTCAACGTGGAAATCTAAATGAGTACTAAAATGAGAGAGTTCTCGTTGAGGTAAATTTACTTTGAAGAACCAGGAAACCGTAGTTCAGGTGTGGTTTTGAATGTCTTCCATACTTCTAAATGTTTCCTACCTATTCTTACATAATGGCTGTTCGCAAAACTTACAGTGTTAAGAACATAATGTAAATTTCATGGAGGGTCTTGGTCACTGCCGATGACGCAGTTTAATCAACATACTGTCAAAGAAAAGCGGATGCTTTCACTTAATTCAGAAGGAACTTAGCGCATTTATATGTCAATAAGTTGCAAAGAAACGTGAATACGTAGACAATACGTACGATTCGGATGTGGCTTGAGATCTTGGATACCGTCATCATATTCATCATCATCATACGGTCTGGAATGACATCGTTAGGAACTGTCATTTTTGTTTAATCGTCTTTCAGATTCATCGTCTGTACTCGCTAGTATGAGGATAGTATATTAATTCTTAATTCTTACGGGTTCGAATCTAGCGTGGGGCGCAAGTTTTGCAAATATCTCAACATCATAGTGGTAGTATTTCACATCATACCTTGATGTTAAAAATAATAGACAGTAAAGGTAAAAGTTAAGCATATTATTCTCCAGCAGTGTGACGTGAACATCACTCAGCTTTTTACCATACCCCCTCACCCAACCGCACTTTCGAATCGGTTTGGCAGTCTGCCTCGCTCTTCTCCCACATGGGCGCACACCCTCGCCTCAGCCGGGTTTCTCTTGCTGCCCAGGTGGCCAGCGTGCTCTCTCACTGACCTCTCTTACCCACCATTACACTCAATGGTCATGTCTGTTTTTGAATCGGTCCCAATGGCGGGAGCAACGCCCTCACGAGGAGGTTCTGTCAGATAGATTGTCCTTTAGTCACTAATTCAAACATGAGACATGCTCTCCTTGGTTTCCAACATTTGCTTCCTTGTTCAGTGCGCTGTTGAAATTCTATTACTTAATAGAATTCAGCTACTTCGTGGCACATTACCTTGGTTTGGTGTTTAGTGTTGTTATTCTGTCACTTATGTTGTGACCGAGAACACAATAGCTATGGATTTTCGGTGCCAGAGATGTTTTCTTCCTAGGTAGCTCATAATATACTGACCTTGTCGGGGTTCTTTTGGACATTTGCCTATGTATGTGTAATAAATTCGTGAGTATCCCGTCGTTAGAACATCTGTCAATCAATCACCCTATGACATGAAAGTGTTCGTGATTACGGTTGCTGGTTGGCCCACCTATCCACCATGCATTCCGTCCCACGCCGTTCGTCATTTGAATCTCTCCGCTCATCGGTCGTTATTGCAAAACTAACACATTGTTGTTATTGTGATCTTATCACCAAACCCCTATGATGTTATCATTTGGTTTTCGCCGATAACTAAGTGACTATTGCAATTCGAATAATAGTATTCTAAACTTTTCAGAGCTTAGCAGTTACCACAGTGCTACTCATTCACTTTTTTCTTTGGAGTACAAACTTCTGTAATTCCGTAATGCAGTGTTCGTCGAGTTAGTAGATGAACGAACATCGGGCTAAATTTGAACATCCATGTGGAATTTAAGACAATGGGACGGCTTTAAACACCGATTTGTTGTACCAGCTGCAATCCATTTTTGTACGCAAACGGATTATACTCTATATACTGCGTTAAATTACGCAACCTAACTGCGTTCTATTCGCTTCGTTGTTGTTCGTCTTGTTTATCGCCATTCGTTTCCGATACAATCACATGCGGGTCGCTGATTTTGTGATGTGTTGGTCACTTACTGATATCTCTATCGATCACATCCGAAGGATAGTCACATAAACTGCGACAGTTACTTCAATTGGTCATTTCCTTTGCCTATAGAGTATTCAGAAAACTCGTTCCTTTCTATTATCTCTTGCTAATGTTTCGAATTAGGTCACCTGTATTTTCGATGAGCATCATGTCATATCTTTATTTACTTCTTGTTTGAACAGGTTTCCCTGAATTTTACCTTTTAACTAATATGTTAGTAATTTAGTAGTCTTGATGAACTCATACAAGGTTATCACTAGATTGTCACCAAAGGCACTGGCTAGCCCTTCTGGATACAGGAAAGATTTACCACCTTGTTACTAGGTTGCTATCAAGTTGGAGTCGATTATTGGCATTAGTTGACTGTTATCTGCAGTTCTGGTTGAGAATTTAGAATCCTCATCTTGGTGATCCTCTGGGATAAACCTCAATTTACATTGCAGTTCGACGTGCAGGAAAACGTCTCAGCCACGATGTTAACCATTGATGTTGAAGCGTAAAGTTTGAAGGTTCTAGAAATAGCTCATACTGTACTGATCTTCTCTTGAGTGCATAGGAAGGGGAAGATGGCTCAGTTTTGGAGGAACAAAAAAAGAATAACACCAACATATCAAATTTCAGCGGTTGATAAGTCCTAGTACTTCCCAACGGTTCACCGCCTCATCGTGGCTGAGAGGTGTTCCTGGGCGTCGGACTGCGATGTACAGCGGGGTGATTCGTCCTCCGGCAAAGTTTCCTAAGATGAGAAGGAGTCTGGCGTTTCCATCAGGAAACCCAGTTAAGAGGAAACCAATACCAGGATCCACCACTGTCCTGGTATCAAAGTCGAATGGTGGCAAATCTCCCTCTGATCCACGAGGGCTACGACTGCCTGTCGTGATGACGACCTGGGGTAGACTCTAGTTAGGCTGTCCTCGGGATTCCAGGGAACCACAATGGGTCAACCAGCAAATCTCCGAAAAAATAGAGATTATGCTGAGACCCGCACAACCATTGAGGACGTTCCGTTCAACTATCAAGTATCAAGTTCAAGATAATGCCTAGACTTGCGCAAGGTGCTTAGACTTGTGTTTATATTGCAAATGTATAGGCTTAGGATATACGTAAGAAGTTAGGGATTAATTTGAAGTGGCGTTATCGCCACTATAGAAGGGTTGCATGACATGCTCAATTGCTCATAAATTCCTAAGGCTTTGTCAACTTAGCCTTCGGCAGTGACACTGTCTATTTAGTGAACGATTAACGATGTGAATTACGCCTCGAATACGCTGATTATCGTCATCTGATAAACGCGGTGGATCAATTCTCTTATCATGTTTCCACTAAGGATCATTTTGAAAAAGTGACCTATGTGGTAGTGATGGCCATCTAACGGATGATGAAATGCCGTTTGTTAATGTAAGGCTTAGAAAACCGGTGTCCAGACTAGCGTTTCTCGTTCGTACAGTATCCACGAATTCATTACACTTTTATTAACATTTCTGTTTTCCCATTTTTTGTGTTCGTGTGTCGTTGGTTTACCAGATTTTTTAACAAACAAAGAATCGATGCGGAGACTTTTCTGGACACAAAATTTACATGAGAACGGATGGAATCCGCTCGTATTGTTGTTGCCCGCATAGTTCGTTTGGAATATTTTAGCTAATTCTGAACGTGTATGTCAGTGCGTATTTGATGTTCATTATCGGAGATCTAATCTTCATATGTGGTCCGGTTTCTGATATTTTTGAGAACATTTGACAGCTGTTCAGTATTTCAATGCACTTGCAAGAAGTGTTTTCGAAATTGAAGCCATGAAGTTTCCTTCATATTTCGACTAAAGTGTTTCCAAAATTAGCATCTTGAACATTTCTGCACATTTCAATTTCGAAGGTAGTGCGATCTTCAAAATTGTTTTGTCATAACTTTAACAGTTTTTTTGTCAGTAGAATTCCTCAGAATTTATCCAGGTGTATAACCCATCATTTCTGTAACGTATAATATTTTATGTGGTCCGTTAGACTAGTAGTGGTGTTCTATAATACAAAATTTGCTTGGTCCCACTTCTCGGCTACCCTAGCTCTCCATCCTTTCGGAGATGGTAATTTGTAACAGAGTTGTCTTGAAGTGGAAAAACATTGACTTGATACGTAGTTAGGTCTGTGATATCATTGTATGAGCCAAATATGCTTTCAGTCATCTCTGTGACTCTACGAATGGAATCGAATACATGACTCTTTCCTAGCACATAAATCAATGCCAGATGCTTGACGATTTATGATCCTGTTAGCGTAGTCCGAATAGAGTTACTAAGATTTTTTATCGTTTAAGTCTCGGGTGAGACCAGTGTTTGGGATAATAAGACGATTCGCTGCGTAATTTTAATACAATCTGTTGTAATCACAATCTTAACCTTTTTATGCACTGCCTACTATTTTTAATGGCAGGGTATATTGCGAAATATAACTTCAATGTTGCTGAGATATTTGCAAAATTCCGGACCGCAGGTGTCTGCGGTGGAGAATGAACGCGCGATTGTCCTTTCCGGGGAGTAAAGCGTTCACCACCACACCAGGGGAATCGATTGATGGAACTAGCTGAGAGACAGGCGAAACGAAGGACACGCATTGTAGAAATTACAGCCTAATGTTTTCTCACAGGTCTTTCCGTTATTTGGGACACTAATTTAATAATCTTCACTCGCTGTCTCTCATCTAGTTCTATCGATCTTTTTGCTGAGAGACAGGCTAAACGAAGGACCTGCATGGTGTGGTGGTGAACGCGTTACTCCCCGGAAAGGACAATAGCGTGTTCGTTCCTCACCGCAGCCACCTGGGGTCCGGAGTTTTGCAAATATCTCAGCTTCATAGAAGCTATATTTCACAATCTGTTGTGTCGATCATTTTTTCTCAGTAGGATTTTAGATAGTCTACCCTAGGAATTACTCCCACATGAAGTTTCATGGAAGTAGAAGTTAGAATGAGGTCACTGTGAAAAGAGGGAACGCAAGTAATTTGAATGTGGTCTTAGCTGCTTGTGAGGGTATGGAGAAAAAGACGAAGAAGAAGAAACACTGGAAAAAGTGTTGTATGAATGAGAGGATGGATTATTGTGCTTTCCGATTGTTTCCGGAGAACTGTCGGATATCTCAGACGATCTTCAAAGGCACTGGTGAACTTCATCGATTAGGGAGTGCACTGCATGCTGCTATAGAAAGCATGAATGAACAAATTCTCTTAAAGTACTTGTAGGAAAGGACTTCCATATAAGCAACATCTGGGAGTATTTCAATCAGTTCTGAAGCAATTAGCTGCCTATTTTATTTAAGTTACTACCTACTAGAGCAGTTTTTTCTATCCAATTACGATGACTTTCGATTCAGAGCGAACGATCTGCCGTGATGACACCATGTCGATCCCTAACATCCACACCCTCCACTCTCTCGTTCATTGCTTGATCCACTTTATAGGTTGATTGATTGACTGATTGGATGTGCTCTCGTGTCATTCTTTCGCTCATGTCTTACAGCTTTCTCCTACATCAAAATAAAATATCCGCTTCTGATAATTCTCCACTATCTGATTATACGGTTTACAGCTTTCGGAATCGAGCGATTCGGGAGTCGTCAACGTTATACGATGAACTATGAAGATGAGGACTACTCGTATTCAGGTGATTCGGGATCTAGTCGTTTTTTCAAAGAGATCCATTATTATTTTCGACTATATTCTTCCTTCGATAGATTTAGAATTCGATTCCGATAGCAGTTCGGACAACTCAACATCACTTCCTCGATTTCAACTCGCCAAGTCGCGATCGGTAGAGAAGTGGTTGAGGGATAAGAGGTATTTTTCTAACAAAACCCTTTTACAAATGTGTTTACGTATAGTGTAAGCGCGCGTGTAGCGCAGTGGTCGGCACTGCAATACACACAGGATCGATCCGCGCGCCCCAGGTTCACGAAGCCTTCCATCTCTCCGGGGTTGGCAATTTAGTACTAAACTTGTCTGGGACGATAGCAGCACTGGCTCGACACGTCGGTAGGCCATCGCGAGTCATTATAATGCTCAAATATGAATTCAGTCACCTCCAATTATGCTCAATAAAATCGAATGCATGGTGCATCTTTCAAGGATTGATCAACGCCGAGAGCTTTGTCTTTTTTATTTATATGTGTAATTTAATTGTATGTAGAGGTCTGAAGTGGAGCCTACCACATAATTGTTGTTATCATCCGAGACGTACTGTTTTTAAATATGTTTCGAAAACGTGAAGGAAGCACTGAACTGCATATCTCTAATCGGAATTGTTTACAGGTTCGTTCGAAAACCGCAGTACGGAGTGTCACGTGAACATCTGAAACCTATCGACAGCAGCTCGTTGTCAACCATTCCATCAAATTTATCTTCTCTTTTGGAATCTACTAATGAAGAAGACTATCTTTCTGATTTATACACTACCGTCCAGAAAAGCGAGAGACATTGTGTTCCGCCAGTATTCTCTGTACCACAAGTATGTTGAATTTTCTTTATTTTTTTTGGATTACTGTTAAAGTTATCTTTAGGAATTGTCGCCTGTTATTGGCGACCCAATTGAGGAACCACCTAGTGTGCCGTCGTTGCGGCTTCAACGAGATTGGAGACCTCAGCAGACATCTACAACGACTTCATTTCAGGTGATGTCTCAGAAATTCTATCAACGAGTAAGACGTTACTTGGCAGTGTTATTCATCTATGACTTAGTGAAATGTTCAACTCAATGCTCCTGTGATAACTTTTCAGCCCTTTGTATATTCCTTACCAAAAACAAATCCGCATCATGGGCCGAAGTTTGTGAGTTCGACTCCTCGTTCTTCAGCCGCAGGTCGCATTCCCATGTATAGTTATAATCAAATTATTGAAAGTGTCTCGCGTCCTAGCAGCTACTGTGGTGAAGTATGTGAAGTAATTTGTTGGGCTAGACTTACTGAAGGCTTACTGTCTGCTGATTACAGGACTCGTGTGAATATCCGACCACTACGCGTTCTCATAACGAAAATGTGAAACCCACGTTTTATCGCCCGGAAAATTTTGGTTTACCAACAGGAGTAGCGAAGAATGTTGGAAGTGAAGGTACTACTGTAGAAGTTGTACAGGTCTAAATGCAATGATACTATGTGTTGTCTCAGCTTTTCCATGTCCCTCTACACTATGATGGTTTTTTTCGTTCCTGGTAGATAACTGTTTTGTCACCGCACAGATAGTGTGAGAAAACGATTTCTCCAAGAATATCCTCGACGTATACGACTTTTTTCGTTTTTCCTGGACGATGATGGGATTTGTTTTCAACTTATAGATGTTAACAACAAACTCATTAAAAAAATCTCCAAGAAAACCCAAGCTCATTCTGTTTACCTAATGCGGGCAGTGTTTCTAAACCTTCTTTTCTTCTAGGAATCTTGTTCTTAAGTATGACATTGTGCGGCAATGAGCTGAACATTACAATCAACGAGGGTGTATATTTTCAAGATCCGTATCAACCACAAATCTCTTCATATGTTCGGGTGAGAAGACGGGTTTTCTTCTCGTGTATTGCCTACTGAAGTCCATGGACCTTTGAGTTTTTTCCTTTTTTTCTTTTAGTTGGAGATGAAACGTCGATGTGGTAACAGTCGTAAGCGGTATTATCGTGAGAAGATTCAATCCTTTAGAACTCGTAAGTGGATGGCGACAAATCGACCAGCATTCAATGAGAAATTCACATTGTGAGAGTTTTCTGTGGATTCGAATTTCACAGCATCAGATACATTTTATTGAAATTACGGTTACCGAGGGTTTCTCATGAGGTCTTTAGAAATCGTGTGAATTGCTTAGAAGTTCTTGAAATCCTCATCGATTTCCGATTTCCCAAGGATTGTATGATTGTTTTCTTTTTGTTGTTTTCTTGCTACAAACAAAAAATAGTCGTCGTTATCGTCTTTTGATTCGTTTAAAGAAAACAGTCAGCATTTTCGAATTTTATCTATGGGCGCCATCGGCCGCACTTTTTCTTGATACTCTTCAATTTTGCCTGTCGTAGTTCTACATCTCTTTCTAAATGGCATGCCATCGATCTTATCTTGTTAGAAAATGAGAAAAAAAACTAACACAATGCCCTGAATTTAATAGATATTACTACTTCTTTTATGATAATGTTCTAACGTATTCTAGCTGTATACTTTGTTCACATTACAGCTACATTGACGAAGAAAACTACTATCGCGATCTTATCACTATCAGTGTCTACAAGCTAAAAACAGATAGTCATCAACAGTACGTTTTGTAAGACTAGATTCACTACGAACTGTTATCGCTAATGCAACACTTCACCGTATCAGTAGTCTTTCTAAATTTAGTTCATTTGAAATTTATCGTTGGAAAAAGTACATACACAGACAGACACAGGCTGAGACACACACACACACACACATGCATACATACACACACATATATATATACATACACACGCATACACAAAACACACACAACACACACACACACACGGTCGTACATATACACTTATATATATAAATATATATACATGTACCTATAAATACACGGGAGAACTATTTGAGCCTTGAGCAAGTCATTTATAGACGAATGCGAATGCTCGGTTGTATGACATTTCCCGTGAAGCGACTTATGAAGAAGGCCAGAGAAGCAGTGAGTGTTATCTAGATTTTAAGTGGCTGTCGTGCCTATTTAGTTTGTTGTGTACTTGAGGGTGAATGAACAGTAATGAGATCGTCGGTGATCGAATATACGATATAATGACAATTTTCAGAATGACGGTTACTATATCGACGAGAATATGACGATGGATGAAGTTGTTGTGAGTAATGATGGTGAATGGAATTGACCAGAATAATTGAAGATGATTAGATTGTTGTTTTCAGGTTAACGAAGGCGGATTCTTCTTGTTGGCTCCGAAGAGGGGAGAGAGGAAGTGCTTCCCGCAAAACAAGGTTTATACGTTCCTATCAAGTGAATTAATGGTGGGAATTTTGTGATGAATAATTTCTTATTCAGATTAGCATCAAAACCTACTACAACGACAAGACGTTCGGTGGAGACGGTGTTCTAACGACTTCGAGTTCGTGCATATCAAATCCGTCTGAGGTACGTGTATTTGCTTTTATGGTTACCACTAATCGGAGACCAAAAGGACGCCATGCCATCCATTCTGTACTGGCTAACGCTATTCCATATTCAACTCTTTTCTTGTGCTTAACAATAACTCTATTCAGGGCATCTTTAGATTCTATAGTGATCTGGGTGAACATGGTTTCCTTGGTAATGCTGAGTGAGTTCGTAAAGATCCTCTTATTGAATATGTTGGTTGGGTGCTAAACAATTTTAGGTTGAAAAATGTTCGGTAGGTTAAATTTCATGCCCACTCGGTCTTTGCTGTGTTTCTAGTATTTCCTCTGTACTTTTCACACTACTAGTCAACATTTAATCAAAATTTAGTTGATTTCGGTAATGCTTATCGATTTTAAGCGGGTTGAACAAATCTGTTCTATGATGCTGCTTCACTTCTGTGTTCTTCTTTGGCTAGAATGGATTTCATTACCTCTCGTGGTTTTTTAAGGCCACTACTCGTTCCTCATTTCTCTTTTACTTGACATTTTGGCACGAGAATTGTGTCGAACAAGCTTCTTTTCCATGTGACTTTCGGAATAGGTTCTCTAGCTTCTTCATTATAGTCCTCACCTCTTCATTGTTCTGTTGTACGTTTCTATGTGTAACCGTTCTAAGGTTGTTTATGGCCTCGACGGACTAAATTATCTATGATATAAGCCTTTTTTTTCTAGAAAGACAGGACCGATATGTTGTTTTATATTGCGTGATTAGTTCTCTTCGCCTGTCCATAGTTGTCATCGTATGTTGCGTAACAATAAGTCTCGCTATATGGCACTAGTCTTCTCAAACTCACATAAGCTTATTACTTTTCCCAGAGGAGAATGCTCCTATACATTTTAAGTGAATGGAACTCCACATGTTCTCGAATTTTCTTTTTGAAACTAATAAGTATTGAGTTCTTCCTGATAGAAGTTTAGCACGTGTATCGACGGAATGAATCATATGGCGTATTGAATTTCATTCTGCACTAGCAGTATTGGTAACAGCAGGTGTGCGAGATGCTTCGCTACAAGTTTTCTTTCGTTTCAATGGCTCTGATAGCGCTGTACACTAGCGTTTTCATTTTTATCATATGCAAACAGAATAATGTAGTGCTCATTTTACCACCAACCATACTACGTGAACTATGCGACGGTTTTCACTACAATCATTTGAAGCCATGAGAATATTCACATATTTCAAAAATTGTTGCAAAATTTGTTTTTTGATATCGTTCTGCGTACATGCAAGCGTTTCAGATGCCTACAACATTGTTGAGGTCAAGTGCTGCAGCGCAAAAAAACGGAAGCACAGGTAAAATAAAGTATTTGGATTTTTTACTGCCTTTACAGTAGTCATTTTTTTCTTAACTTACTTACTTGATACTTGAACGACCCGTCCTCACTGGTTTTGCGGCCCCCAGCATAATCACCATTTTTCGGAGATTTGCTGGTTAAGACATTGTGGTTCAATGGAATGCCGAGGCCAGCCTGGCCAAAGTCTGCCCCAGGTCTTCACCACCACGGGCAGTCGCAGCCCTTGTGGATCAGAGTGGGATTTGCCACCATGCGACTTTGATACGAGGACGGTGGTAGATCCCGGTATTGGTTTGCTCTTAGCTAGACTTCCTGATGGAAATGTCGGACTCCATCTCAGCTTGGGATACCATGCTGGGTGGTCGAATCCCTCCACTATACATCGCAGTCCGACACCCAGGAACACCTCCCAGCCACGATGAGGCGGTATGCCGTTGGGAGGACACATATTCGTAACACATTTGTATTTCATGATTTCAGTGAGTGACGTGTGTGTGGATCTTGATGATCCATACCCTGAATTCACGAGATTTGCTGAATGCTTTCATGCTGGACGAGGTGGTCATCGTGCTACATTTCCTGACATTACAACGACTAGTTCGTAAAATTTACCTTTATCTATCCCTGAACATTTCTTTTTCGAATTGATCTTTTGCCGGTGACAACTTTTTTCATTTCAATTCTAACATTCTACCATCATGACAGTTATTAGGGTCCTCGGTTGCTCTACTTGTTGATATTTAAGCTTTTCCGATTCTTTCGGTTCGTCAGTTACACGGATTATCATGCATTAGTCGTCAACCTTCACGGTTTCAGGATGTGTATTTGGTTGCATTGATTATTCGTATTCGTCAACACTTTCTGTTGTTCTCAAAGGCAAATTATAGGAAATATCTAGTCTTTTTTTAAACTGTCTTTCATTCCACCCTAGATTAAATAATCATTGTCATGGTTTATTGATAAGATTAAACGAAGCTGCCATATAACCGTATTGTTGCCGACGTTTCGGCGGTATTGTCTTTTTCGTGATACCAGTTTCTTCGTTCGGCGACAAGTCTACACGAGGTTGTTACAAATTTTTATTATGGCTACCGTTTCGGGTCACCTTTCCTCTTCAGAGCCGCGTTAAGGCCAAGTGCTTATAGGGGTTACTCCCTACGCTGTGCGTGTCTCTATGTTCGAACCAAATCCAGCCTAATGCACTAGATCACTACTGGAATCGAGCGAGTATCCTTATTCGACAGTGCTGTTTTATACAGAACAGTTGTTTATTGATTGTCCTCCGAAGATTTCATCTCCGAAGAACACTGGTTTCAAGATGATTTGTTTTCGTGTAGATTCCATCCTGCTGCACCTGGAATCATCTAGCGTGGTGCCAAACACTTTTTGGAAATCGACTTTTGTTTAGATTAGGCATAAGTTGTTATTTCTTTTAATTAACAAGCTACTATAAGATCTTCGCAAAAGGTTTTTTGTTTTCGATGATATTGCCCTCAGTACTACAATGTTTTGAGTGTTTGTTTAAACATAAAAATGACATCGTAGTTGTGTAAATTTTTTTCTCAAAGTAGAATTTCTGGTAAGAGCTTCTCACAATGGTACGATGTATGGTAACTTTGTAGAACACGTCACCGTTGGCATAAATGATAGACGAATTGTTCTATGTTGACGTGAAAGCTTTGCATGATACCTACAAGCTCACAAGTCGAATTTTTCGCCATGAAATATGTTGAAGGTTCTAAGGAAAGTTCCTTATACAGCATATTTGCGATTTTCGAACATTTCATGTAGGGAGATAAATGTGTAGACCATTAACTGCAGAGAAGGTTAAGGCGTTATCGCCAATTATAGCAAGCGACTAATTTGTATCTTCCCATGGAATGAAACAGCATAGTTTGTTGGTTTTTTCTAGTCGGTGGTGTTCTTTAGGATAACACTGGTCGTTGGTCTTCACACTTTCATGTCGTATACGTCTAATTGTAGTTATAATTTGTTTTTTTCTTTGAGCTCCTCTGTTCACAGAAGTAGGTTTTAGAAAGCACATAAAGTTCGCTTAGAAACTTTCGCATTGCCATATGCAAGTGATTTCGCCTTTGGACATTAAGCAGACAAGTTTCGGTATATGATAGATGTTATTAAGCGGTAGGATCTAAAGGTTCTCGCCAACATGGTTCCATTTTTCATCATTCTACCCATGTGATGTCCTTATCTTCTCGAGTCCAGTATTTTTCTTTTTTCTTCGGTATGCTCTATCTCAACCAACCCTGCGTTTGAAGAAATGCAGTTCCGTTAAATAGAACGCGATGATTTCCTTGAATACTTCATTGTTATTTGCGTCTGTCCCTCTTGCATCAAAATTTTTGAGAGTTTATATTTTTTCCAATTCTTTTGGAAGCATGAGATATGAACACTTTTAAAACTAGGTCAGCACTTTATTTAAAAAATGCGTACGGACTTAGTGCAATATAGTAAATGGTCTTCCTTAACCCTCTCAGTCAGGTCCTCTATTCCTCAATTGCTCTAGTTGTCGGAAATTTGTCGGCACTTCTCGCGCAGTACGATTGTGTACATTCTCGTAGTGTCTTCATGATTATGCCTTTTTTCAATAAGAAAGGTATCAGATGAAAGCTGAACATTACGTGCTCTTCGTAGCTCCACATAACGCCGTCGATCGGCAACCATCATACAAAGGCGTACATTATTTCGCTCAGTGGATTCATATCACTTCCTTGGTGCTACTCTATTTTCCTTCTTACTAGTTCATGTAATGTAAATTGTAGGCGAATGTTTCTCATTACTTGACCAATTTTGGTATTATGGTTGACAAACAAGATTCTTTGTACCCAAGGAAGTGGCAGTAGTTGTATTGAAACAGTAAGGACATTGGGGTTCGTTCACGAAAATTCCTTTTTTGTAGCCACTTAATCTGTTGTTGCACACATCTGGCTGTATGAAAGAGACTGACGAGTGTGACTCGTTTGAAATCTGTTTTTTTAGATCCATTTTTTTTATATGCATAAATTCTACATTCCTTTCAGCGGAGAATACCTCTGATGGCGGCATTCTACCATCACTTCAAAATCGTCGTCGTAAATGTGGCAACCGATCCAGCCCTGCTGTTAGTTTTATGTTGGTTTCGTTGCATTAATCTCTATGTCATCCTACTGGTTTTAGAAGCTAAAGAAAGAACAGGGTGTTCGCCGGGCAGCTTCATTTACATTTTCGCCAAAAGGAGCTTCCGAGAAAACGAACTATCGCACTCAAGTGCCTTCGGTGCGTGAAGATGAGAGCAAAAGAAGGTTCTTGTGAGTCTTTGAAATTTATTAGGTAGTAGTTCAATGCTCGTGTAGCGCAGTGATCAGAGGCGCCGTGCAATACACATGGGATTGAACACCCTACCCAGGTTCACCAAGCCTTCAATCCCTCCGAGGTCGGCAAATTCGTAGCAGAGTTGTCTACGAGGAGAGCATCACTGGCTCGATACATCGATAGGCTACTGCGAGTCATTGTAAAGGCCAGATATGCATTAAATCATCTGGAACGGTGCCTAACGAAGTCGAATGCATGACGCATCCCTCAGCGATTGATCAACGCTGGGAGCTTTATCCTTTTATCCTTTTAGTAGTTCAGTGATTATGCTGATATATAGGTGGTTTCATTTGCTAAGTGCTTAATGTCAATCTGTGTGTTGGATTGTTTTTTGATCTTCCAATTTTTTGTTGACTTTGCTAGAGATTAACCATTCTGCATTTCTCAGCCAAGAAACAACATTTTACGCATGGAAAATCGCGGTTGTAAAAGCTGGACGCTGTACATCGTCTTCGTTCGCACAACATTGTCATATAATTCAACATATAATGACACTCAATGTGTAGACAATGACACTATAGGAACATTATTGTTGTTTGACGATCACCGTTTTGTGTGCAGCGTTAGCTTTGTGATTTCGAGAATGTCGAGAAACGGGCGTCAATTCATAATGCTGATTGCATCTGGGTGTTGTTTGACGTTCCGTGAGTTGCCGCGTTTTGAACCTGGTTTCTGCTCTCTTGTGTAACCTTTGGGTTAATTACCTATTTGGTTGCTGTGTTTGTTGTAAATTGTAGCCGGCTGTCATAATTATGTCAACAAATAAATAAGCCGCTTTTCACCCAATAGGTTATAGCGCTGTGGCTGACGTTTTTGAGTTTGATGTATTTTCTTGTTTTACGGTTTTAGCTGGTCTGGTTTTTCACTTCTGCACCATGTCAGTGGTTTTCAGAGACGGAGCACAGCTAGGATAGTTGTTGTTTGCGATTTGTTCGTCGGTTTACGGGCGTATAAATGTGTAATAGAAGCAGCTGCATGAAGATTTCGCTGCCTAGTTGATGTGACTTCACATGAGTTTATGAGCAGATGCGAGGAGTCGTTCTATGGAATGAAATCGCCTTCTTACCCAGATTGCTTTCATTTTCTACTCATTGTTAAACTGAAACGCAGTACTCATTAGGTTAAAACAAGTGCTCACTGTGTACAAATTGGTCATACGTCAACATCGTAACTGTAAATACGACCAAGTTCTTGGCGTTCCTCAGTCCCTGAGGAGTTCGCCATGCATTCGACTTCATCAGGCATCGCTAGAGGTGATTAAATTCATATCTGGCCTTTACAATGACTCGCGGTGTCTTACTAATAAATCGAGCCGGTGCTGCTATTCTCCTAGACGGATCTGATACCAAATTTCTAACCCTGGAAGCATGGAGGGCTTGGTGGACCTGAGGTGAGGGATCGAACCCATGCGTATGTAGCGCGCCTCTAGCCACTGCGCTACGCGCGCCCTTCGGGTCGTAATTGTACTTTGCATAAATCAGGAACCGTTTCGCTCATATGAATCCGTTTTTCGTTTTACATCCCTATCTCTGCTAAATCGTTATGGTCGTTTTGTCAAGTTGTTGCTTCTCTCTTCAGTTTTTTTTTCTTCGTGGGATGTTGAAATGTAAAATAACCTTTGCCGGTAGTATAAATAAATGACGTGCGGAAATCGTAGTGGTTGGAGGTGCCGTGTAATAATACACGCGTGTTCGTTCATTTGACATCGGCGAATGTCAACCAAGCTCTCCATCCCTATGCTGTCGGCAAATTGGTATCGAACGTTTTTGTGGAAGGCTCTCTCCAGCTTACCAAGATCATTAACTAGATCAGTGATGAAAATCTGGGATGCTGTAGTAAAGGCTATGCCGAGATCCCAGGCGGAATCATTCTGAGCACTATTCAGTGACATTAATGGAGAAGACAAAATTCTATAGTAGTAGCTGAACTCACATGCGAAATTGGAAAGCTTTCATTGATAGCAGATGCCAGACGAGAAGTGGATGAAAGAATTGCTGCGGTCAGGAGAACATGTGTATTCGCATCGCATGAATAAATAAACGTAGAAAGTAGGTTACGGAGATTTGCAGGCGTACATTGGCGGATGGAACTCCCTCATGCAGTATATCTTCCTAAATGTTACAGTAGAATATTATGTTGAATAATGCTAAGTTATTCTAAACTCTTATACTTTTCCGATTTCATCTTCGGAAAAAAAAACCGACTGACTCCTCTCATCTCTTGCAAAATTTCTCTTTTTCATACATATAGTGGGCAATAAAGAACGCAACCATGAAAGATAGTGGAAAGGCAAGGTTACCAAAACATTACCTCAGCGACCAACTAGCGCGATGTTGTCGAGCTTATACTGTATTATTGTCAGTAGCTATCGTCCACTATACGTACTGTATCGGCAAATTTTTTTTGTTCACAACTTCACTTAGTATCTTTTTAATTGGCTCAAACATTGAGTCGTGGATTTGGCACAAAGCCATTGAGTACTTCTTATCCATCATTCTGGTCTAATCATATTACGGTTTTACCCTATCTTAGATCATTTTTGCTTATATTAAAGGAATTTCGCCTTGGTGATCTTTTTATAGAGTACAATATCAGTTTATTATGCTTTGTTTCACTTTTCAACTCATGATTATTTATTCCATGTTTACCGTTATTGTGCCATGAACTGGAGTGGTCGACGTTCTTTCTCCTTTCTTTGCAATCCTACTTCCATTCATATTCAGCGGTACGATCTCTAAAACAATCAGTTTGTTCCGAAGCAAGTTCGATGTGGCTTCGTCCACTTCATCTCTTTATCCTACTCGTGAGGAAGTGCTTCAATGGAGAGTAAGCTTCGAATCGTTGCTGAATCACAAATGTGCGTAGGATTTTGTCAGTGATTGTAATTTGAGTTTTTCTTTTTGTTTCAAGTTGCTCATCTTTTCAGATGGCTGCACACTTTTCCGAGAATTTCTTAAGAAGGAATTCTCAGATGAAAATGTAGATTTTTGGCTAGAATGCGAAGAATTTAAAAAAATGAAAGAAGGGAAGAAGGCGACTGTTCAACGAGCACATGAGATATTTAAGGAGTATGTAGCAGCTGCTGCTCCAAAAGAAGTGAGTATTCAAGGCCCACTCTTTAATCCTACTATGTTGTATGAGTTTACAGTCATAAAATGGGATTCTTTGTCATGCAACGTAGCTTCCATGGTATGTGCTACCTTTTATACCTTCGTATTCTTCGTTGGTTTCCACGTTATCACTTACGACAGATGCCTTTTATAAAAGCGAATGTGTATGCTTGTTTTGGTATTATTCTCAATTCATTTAGAAAAACGTTCCTTTAAACTGCACAAGTAAACAATGACCGTAATTGCACATAGAAATGGATGTGCATAGTAGAGGTGTAGTTACTTGAATTGGAATTGCTCAGTGCCTAATAGCATTGTTTTCCAGGTAAATCTGGACTCGGATACACGGGCTGCCACAAAGGCAGCAATGGAAAGTGGTTGCAAGAGCGATACATTCAGTTTAGCACAAAGTCGCATAGAGCAGTTAATGGCAAAAGATTCATATCGCCGGTTTCTTAAAGATCATCTCTATCTCGACCTTGTTGACGGTGTAGAGAATATTGTAAATTCGCCGAAGATTAAAAAATAATGCGGAGTCCACGAGTGCGTCGATGTTCACGATGAATTCGGCTAACACATCTGTTTCTGCGGGTTCTGAGTGATTTTCTTTACAGATGTAGATGTAGTTGTTCGCATAATGCATGTTAATTCTTTGCAGTAATAATGTTGTTTTTGTTGTCCAACCATTTTCAACTCGCTAGAATAAGTAGTAAAGGTTCGGTAATATATCAGCCTCTATGATTAGTAAACTCGCATTCTAAGCACATTTCTTCTAGAAACTGTGAGTTTTCTCGGACAACAAAACTACTACGTTTTGGTCTCCCATTCTGCTCAGTTTAATAATGCTGCAATACTATAGAGCTAATATCGCAGCAGAACGATCAACTCGCTTTGATCTCATTTAACCCCAGATCTGTGTCTCGTATGTCTTGAGTATTGGTTGCTTTTTGAAATACTATTTCTGGGTTTTTCTGCAGTTACAAAAAGTACTCCATATTGTTACTTCGGCTTTGCTTGCTGTCATTTTGTAAGTGGTTATCAGGATTATAGCTATGATAAAAATGGTCTTGCGAAGTGGCGAATACTGTATTTGCCCTCACCTATTATAGCGACCAATTTTATTTTTGTATCTGTGTCAAACATAATAAACTTTAATTTCCATTGTCACTCAGATTTTCATTTTGAAATGCTTTCTTATATGACATGTAGACTGTGGTTCGTCCACGAATAAATGGTTCGCATGGAAATGTCTGATGTTGGCCGTCTTCGAAGTTCCTTTAACGTATGTTCGGTCAAATGCCGTCTGATATTTGCTTTCTCAACTTAGTATTTAAGTATTTGGAGCCTTCTTCATAGCTTTGAGAGACCACATTAAAGTGTGGCCTAGTCGGCTAAATATTTTAGCAACTTTGACGCATAAACTGAAAGCTTAGAAATCAGTCACATTTGGAACATTTTATTTATATACTATGGAATAAGTTTTGGTATTGATGTCCTCTTATAACGTATCAACTCGCCAGCAAAAATAAGTTACTAATCAGTAACAAGGTTAACAAGCAGACGACGTTGATCGCTGTTATACACCTAATGCAATAGTTAACGACGAAATACGTCACAAATCCTGAAGCTTTTTCCCCTTTTTGTTTTATTATGCGGCACCGCATATTGAGCCAATCACAGACCTTTATTTTCTTTGGTCATTGTCTTGTATCTTTCACCTAAGAAGAATGGCTCCTACTTGAGTATTTTGTCTCCGTCATGAATATCGTCGAATTCTGGTCGAATTGTTCCTTCTCGAATGTCTGAAATAACCCCCTCTAGAGCGTTCCAAAATCTCCATAGAGACGGGCGCTAACTTTTTGAAATCGGAGAAAGCTTTGCAGAAACAAGTCGACCACCAATTCGCCGATTTCGTAAGGGGAGAAGGTTGTCCGGGCAGGATGATGTCACAGCAGGGACGAAATGTGTATTACACGGCATCTCTAACCGCTACACTTCTCGCCGTTTCCGAGGCAATCAACATTCGTGGTCAACCTGTTAGTATAACACCTTTGAAGGCTTCTCTCCCAGCACAGGTTCCAAGGAGCAGTTCACCTCCACTACCGTGAGCAGTGTTTAGTTGACTGTCTTCTTGTCTCAGTCACTCTGACGATATTACACTTCGTTATCCTAGCTTACATAGTAAGTTTATTAACAAAAGCTTCTATTGTTAGCGTACATACATTGTAACTGCATATCATCCAAATCTGATAGAGCTTGGCAAGCCCATTATATTTAATTACACTGCAATTCATCTGCATCACCTGTAGTCCCATTGATCGTCGAGTGACTCGAGCGGGCGCCAATAAATCGTCCATTTTTCCCTGTCGCGTGCAAGAGTAGCCCAGCGGGTTTTGCTCGCTCTAGGAACTCGTCTAGCATCATATTTTTCCTCTAGGCTCTTCGTGAAGAACTCTGACCATCGGGTTGGTGTTCTTCCTGCAGTACGTCTGACATCCTGAGGAATCCAGTCACTAACGGCTCTTATCCATCGGTTGTCGTTCATACGCATTACGTGTCCGGTCTCCCTTATTTTCGACTGTTTGGTGTACAGAACGGCATCTTTGATTTTTGATCGTTGACGCAAATCGGAGCTTCTGATCCCTTCCATTACTTGCGTGGCACGGGATACTCCTAGCATCGTCCTTTCGACGGCGCGTTCAAAAACGCTGAGTGATCCTTCATCCTGTTTACGCAGCGACCACGTTTCTGACGGATGCGCCAGGATAGGAAGTACCGTTGAGTTGAAAAGGCGGAGATAAGTCGTTCATCATGTTGACTTTCCGACATAGATAGGCATAAATGGAGCAAACGGAGATCCGCTGATCTTGAATGGTGCATACGAAACTAGTCCGTTACTCATAAACATCGTTTTTGTGGATTAAGTCGAAGACCAATCCTTCCACAGGCTTTATCAAAGTCTCCAAACAGACGTTTCGCTTGGCTAATGTTTGGTGTTATAAGGACGATGTCATCAGCAAAGCGATGATGTAACTGTCGGCCGTCGATTTTCACACCCATATTATCCCATTCCAATGTTCGCATGACGTTCTGGAGGGTGGTGGTAATTAATTTCGGCGAGATAGTATCGCCTTGCCTAACTCCTCTTTTGACGTCAATGTTAATATCGCTGTAGAATGGTGATATCTTGGCTGTGAAATTTTTGTACAGCTCACGAAAAATCTTTATGTACTGAGTAGGGACTCCTTGACTATCAAAGGCTTCCATGACTGCTTCTATCTCAGTTGAATCGAAGGCCTTCTGTTAATCGATGAATGTGAAACAGAGCGGTCTTTAGTACTCTGGCGATACTTCAATGAACCTTGTTATCGTGTGGATGTGGTCCATCGTACTAAATCCCTTTCGAAGCCCTGCTTGCTCACATGACTGTCCTTCATCCAGTGTTCCGTCAGTCCTTTTAAAGATGACTCGAGTGAAAAGTTTGTAGACGACAGACAGCAAGCGGATTGGGCGATAGTTGCCGATATCGTGTAGGTCACCCTTCTTAAACAATAACACGGTCTTGCTGGTCTTCCACTGACTAGGGACCTGGTACACAGGCAGGTAACGTGTGAAGAGTCGAGTCAATGTATTTACGAGGACTGACGGAAGGTTCTTCAGGGGTTCTGATCTCATTCTGTTTTGGCCTGGCGCTGTTCGATTTTTCACCCACGAAATGGCATATCGGATTTCGGAAGGGAGAACCAGTGGTGCAACATATGCATCCTCCTTTATTTCATATGACGGAAGGTGGACGTGGCTGTCAAAGAGATCTGAGTAGTATTCAGGAAAGATTTTCTTTATTGCCTTTCCGGACGCTGTTGCTGTTTTGTTTGGGCGTCGGAGTGCAATCGTCTTGGTCATGTAGTTGGCAAAGCTTCGGTGGGCTCTGCGAATGCTTTTCCCAGCCTCTGCAGCTTCGTCCATTACTGCTGCTCTTCCCTCTTTAGGATCTTCTTTTATTGCCTGTATGCATTGTTTTGCAAGTTTGGAGGTTAGTTCGCAGTTGCTGCAGCTCGTACGATTCCACACTGGCGTATCAGCTCGAGTGTTTTTGGAGACAGACGTTTCTTGGTAACTTTCGAACTCTGGGCTTTCATAGCGCTAGCATGATGTTGAATGAGCCGATCGTATTCTTCTTCGATGTTATCGACAACGGCATCTTCCTAACAACCGACTAATGAATTGAATAAATTCCAGTTTACGATGGTTCTGGGACTTCGGTTTTGGAATTTAGCGGCTTTTTCTCCTTTCCGTGAGAAATAGAATCTTGAACGAAGGAAACAGTGTTCTGATCCCGTGTAAATGTAGAGTTTTGGGACCACCGACATCATTTAGGCAAAACCTTCTATTTACTATGATGTGGTCTATTTCGTCATGGTACTCTCCATCGGGAGACTCCCACATCCAGCGCTGAGGGTGGGGCTTCTGGAATTGCGAGTTATCATGGATTGTCTTGCCCACCATGATAAACTCAGACAGCCGCTCACCCTGTTCGTTCCGTTCTAATCCGTGGGTCCCAGTGTGACGTTCTTCAGTCGTTTTTCTTGGTCCAATATTGGCCTTGAAATCTCTACTGACGACCTTGAAAAATGTGTTTTCTTCTCTGTAGAACTTCTCCAAGTCCATATAGAACGTTTCGACTTCTTCGTAATAAAAATCATAATTTATTGGGATTTCTCAAAGCAGGTGTGTATTATTTGTCGGAGGTAACTCCTTACACGATCCGCATATGTATAAGCGTGAACGCATACATCAGAGGTATTTCTAAATATTAACCGAAGGTGTAGGCAAATTGGTGGAACACATCCAACGATTCCATCTCTTAAGTTTGTTATTACTAGTATTATTACTGCTTTTATTATTGTTATTACTGCTATTATTATTATTATTACTGCTATTATTTTCATTGTTATTATTATTATAAACAACATATTAAGAAATTGTTGTATTTATTGCTATTATTGTGTGCCTCACTAATATTAATAACAGCGTTAAAGTTTAAGGCGATAAAGAATCACACTGGTCCATGTGCAAGCTAGCCACAAAATGAAAAATCCCTCTTCGATCTAGAGGCAGCAGCTTGGGCTTCGATGAACTGAGACGCCCTCGTAAAGCTACCTAGGCACGTAAGAGACAACAAATAGCTTGCCTCGCAGCACAACATCTTATGTTGAGTAAACTGTATGCGGCACCTTAAAATGGGGCGACTAGTTAGAAATGGGCAAGTGGGCCAGAACTTAGTACGTTCTAACGAAAATGAGCAAATATGCGAGAACTCAGTTTCTTCTAACGATAGAAGCGTCCTTCATAAAAGTACTCTTCAAACGACTTCATTGTTTTTCCTGGGTGTCGATTTAACTCGATATTATGATGAAGACTCAGATTTCAAGGAATAATTGCTGTGCACACTCAGCCCAAATCATCGGAGTCTGACCAAGGCGAATATGCTGAAATGTTTGCAATAATAAAGAGTCGTAACAACCTTGTATAGGTTCGTTAGTGAAACAAGAAATTGGTGTCACGCAATGTTGTTGACTTCTAATTTGACGTACACTCATGTTGCATGCATCATTTCGACTTTAGAAATCGTCTTAACACAATTCTTTATTCCACATAATGAACCTTTGTATTTGGAACCTGGACTGACATTTCGTTCATGTCGAGAATTTTGCACATCGGTCAAATGTTTGATCGTATCTCCTAAAACATGCTGGGCAACAATAAGATGGACTACTTAACTAAGACATTGGTAAATCCCTTTTTAATGATTTAGTCAAGTGCACTAAAGGCGAAAACAATTGGGCCGATTGTACGGATAGAATCGGGATTCGCACGACTTATGAAGGTGAGCTGAAAGAGTGTTCAAGCATTGTGTTATGAATGCCTGTGTCATTATTATATAACTGCACGTGTAGCGTAGTGGTCGGAGGGGACCATCAATACACGTGGGATCGATCCATGCGTTCAAAGCTTATCAAGCCTTCCATTCTTCCGGTGTCGACAAATTGATACAATATTTGTCTGAAAGAATAGTATGCACTGGCTCGATACATCGGTAGGCCACCGCGAGTCACTGCAAAGGCCAGATATCCATTCAATCACCTGCAAACGACATTTAATGAATTTGAATTCATCGTTCATCCCTCAGGGATTGATCGTCGCCGAGAGCATTATTATAATATTATTATATGCTTTCCTCAAGCGGTGGCTTGAAGAAGTAGATCTCTTGATTTTGCTGTCCCGAGTTAATTTGTAAAGACGCAACTATTTTCAAAAGTGCTCCATGGATATACTTGGGTATACATGCGGCACATAACTTGAAGTAGAGCAAATAGGGCATGCAGTAGAGGTTGCTCGTTGTAATTTCTAGTAAATAAGCTCCAAATCTTCTCTGTGACAGTTGAGACACCAATCTTAGGATATCCTACCGCTAAAAACAGCAAAAATATTCGGTTTCATTCCTTTGAACTCCAAAGGCCGCAAACACTGCTTTATCGATGGTGTGTCGAGTTCACAGTATTATAGGGAAGTTTATCAAACCATAAAATTATTTTAAGCTGGCTAAATCTGGAAGGACTAGCGTAACGACTTGAATATACAAAGAATGCAGACCAGTCTAAAAAGCCATTCAGTATTTGATAGTGCAAGCTAAAAAGATCAAGGGTGGGTGATAGAGAGGACTCGGCTACATTGGCATGCTGGAGAACGTGAACTTTGGAATGACAGATCGAATGTTCACTTTTAGAAAAATATGGACCAATGATATGTTTATGCCATTACGAGAATGAAGGGTCTAGAAAGTCATCACTAACCTCCAACGCCAACATTTGCCTCCAGATAACTTCTGAAAAGTACACATTGGGACGCACGTACGAGAAAGATAGCAGCATTGTGAAGAACTGAGTTCACAAAGCGGATAAATATTCGTGATAGGTCACTATTTCAGAATCGTTCGTGTTACGTTTAGAGGTGTTCATTCTTTAGGTGTATACAGTTATAAAGAAATTTATTCGAAGGCTTCATTCCAGAGAGAGAGAAGAGAGCCTAAAATGAGGACATAGATCTCCATAGCAACCAGAAATAGTGACTTGTTTTCCTCCTCGACCATGTTTCAGAAAGTTATGATTGCCGTCAGCGACAAAGAGGAATACGGCTGGCTCCCACCACACCATAACCGTATTGAAGAAGCCCAGACTTTAAGCAGTATCTTAGTACGCCTCCATTAAGTGGACCATAGATTCAGCACTGGATGAAAGCAAGAGAAGAGCAGAGGGGTGGTCACAGATTTCCATCTGAATAACGCCAATCGCAAAATCGTAACTACTTCTTGATATTCGCGTAAAATACTTCATTTAGAAGAGAAATAAAAGCGCCATGACGACTTATGCTTCAACGTATTCTACCACTACGCCCACCTGCCTTCAGGGTAGTCAGATTTGAGCGTCTGATAGCTCCTCGAAGGCAACAATAATTCTTTATGAACTAATAAATGTTTGTTACTTTGTGGGTACAGAATTTTGCCACAAGTTATTTTAATCCAGAAGTCACGTCAGTACTCTGATTCGACTCCTTCGTTTTCCTTCAGAATTCGGGATAACCGTGTAATGGCAAGGCAGTAAAAAGAGTTGCTATCTAAGCAAGATTAATAGCTTTCGTCTATGAGTTGTTTAACCTCTAATGTTCTATACCCAGCTCACGACATTTCTTCAGTGTACAGCAATCGTCATCCGTAGATATATAGATTCGGGTGTGGATTCAGCTGAAACTCTGTAGACTTCTCTCCTTGTAGTGGATGTTATTCGAGAATGATTCTTCCTCGAAACCTAATATTTCATTTCTAGGGCGTAGTTAGACCATTCGCATATGCAGTTCCGGCTTTTGTGGACCAGAGGGATCTACATTGACCCAGATCATCCCAACACGGCATTGAATCCTCCAGTTAATTCACTCGAGCGACCTGTGGAGAACGATATAAAAGCCGAATTCACTACATTGTTAATGCAAAGCATTACCGCTAATTCAAAACGCAACTTTTTGTTGTGCCCTTCATCTGAATAAATTCTTGGTTTTAATGAAATTCTTGGCTGTTTTTCCATTTAAATAGTCCTCGTTGTTATAATACCAGAAAAAAAAATTCAATCGCTTTGTGCCACCTTGTTCACTATCGACCATGCTTTCGTTAGTCTTCAAAGATAAAGAGTGGAGAATGGTCCTCAATGTGCGGACGGCCCTGGCAACCTTTATGAGCTTAACATACTCCTTCTGAGTTTCATACTCTGCGTCTGTGCTCGTTGGCCAAGTAGTAGAGAACAGTTAGCTTTAGTGTGCTACCAGAAAGAGGCTTTCTTTGTCTACGATGTGTGAGACCTCAAACTCGTGTTATTTTTATCTTTACAAAGAAAATTTGCCAACAAAAATCAATCGGTAGTTGTGCCAGCAGAGCTTATATAAGCGTTGGAATCGCAATGAACTTCAACAATCAAAGGAGCGTAATTTTTTCAATACAGTAATAGGATACTTTCTATCGTACTTTATAAGGTACAACCAACACCTGCGGAATAGGTGCTGAGTGTGGATAGGTAAATTCATAATTGAAGAACAGTTCCAATACAACATCTCGAATTCCCGAAGAATATTATTTGGGCGTGGCTCATTCCAAAGGAGCGCTTTTATAATTTGAGCGCTATCCTTTTCGTACTTTTTTGGAGTGAGCAGATGTTATAGGACAAGACAAATGCTATCGAGGCAACGAAGTCGCCGCACGGTTCTCGGTCAGTTGCTTTTTATTCTGCTTAACACTATGACGAGTTAAATGTGGAAAAGAAATTCTATTTATCGCTAACCTGCAGACATGATCCATGACAGCATGAAGTCTATTAATAGGTGGATGAACCATGAGTTTGCGCCTTTCCTTATACTTTCTATAGCTTTAAATTGCTTGAAATATCGTCTAGGGATCACTTGTCAATTTTTACCTCCTAGGGAAGCGGTTCTCATCACACCGGTCTCACACCAATATCATCACAGCGGAACAGAACTAGCATTGAGTCAATAGTGGTATGACAATTTCAACTCTGCAATTATTTGATAGTAATGCTTAAGCGGTCTACCACCTAACGGTTTACCGCCTCATCGTGGCTGGAAGGTGTTTCTTGGCGTCGGCCTGCGATGTACAACAGGGGGATTCATCCCCTCGGCAGGGCTTTGGAAGTTGAGATGGAGTCCGGCATCTTCATTGGAAAGCCTGGCTAAGAGTAAACCATACCAGGATCTATCACCGTCTCGCATCAAGCTATTCGCATGGTGGCAAATCTCCCTCTACTCCACAAATGCGGTGACTGCGTGTGGTCGTGACGACCTGGGTCAGACTTTGGCTAGGCTGACCTTGGGACTCTAGAGAACCAGCATGGATAAGCCAGCAAAACTTCGAAAAAGTGGTGGTTGTGCTGGTTCCCGCACAACCAATGAAGATGGGTTATCCAAGTAAGTACGTATGCAATGTTAAGTTTTCATTTACTTTCTATTACAATTTCTCACAGGAGGGTGCTATGTGTGATACAACCACAATGACGCTGAGATATTTGCAAAACTCCGGACCGCAGGTGTCTGCGGTGGGGAATGAACGCGCAATTACCAAAAGAAAAGCCATTTCTAGTGACTAACGCGTTTACCACCACACGATGCAGGTCCTTCGATTCGACTGTCTGTCAGCTGGTTCTATGGATCTTTGACAGCAGCAATCACTCTTCAACGGGATTGGTATGGGGAGCACAAATCGGCAATGAACACAGGCTGAGGCTGTAGCTAAAATCACAATGTTAACTTTGCATTTATTGGCTATTCAGAGATCCAAAGAAATAAGGAATAAGCGGAATTCAAAAAATGCGACGACTCAAGATCTCGAAATAAAGCATGTTCTTAGGAAAGTCAAAATGTTCGCACTGGTTTAGTAGTGCAAGTGAGGAATGTGGACCTAATCAAATTATCTGGCTAGTATAATTGCGTACGGCGCGTGTAGCGCAGTGGTTGGAGGCGCTTTGCAATGCACATGGGACCGATCTCCACGCCGAACCCCCACCAAGACCCCATCCCTCTAGGCCGGCAAACTATTACCAGACCCGCCCAGTGTGAGAGCAGCAATGGCTCGGTACACGGGTAGGCTACCGCATCCCACTTTATTGGTCAGATATGCATTCAGTTATCGCCAACGATGCTTAATGAAGTCGTATGCATGGCGTGTCCCTTATAGATTGATAAACGCCGAGAGCCCTTTTAAGTTCTATGATTAGGTGAATGATTTTCCTTTCTGCCTAGCGGTAAAAAAAGCTTTAGGCACTGTTGCTCAAAACACTGATACGCTCTAATGCTAATGCCAGAGAACGAACACTGCAGCAAGCAAAATCATCCATGAAGTTGTTTAAACGGCACACTACACTGTTATTAATCTCCTACATTAAAAATTTCAATGAAAAAAAAACTGTAGAAACAATAGGCAAGAAGATGCTCCTATATGTATTGCAATTTCCCTAAAAAAATTTTGTTAAATTACACATAGCTAAAACAATTTTGACAGGTCCTGAAACGATTAGCTGTTGGGCACAAACAAAGTTAATGATACAGTTTCTTACAGCCTTCACGGGCAAAACGACACCAAATTAAATTTAAAGCACTCCTTTGCTCCAGCCGTAGGCCTTCGTGTGTCATTCGTTATTCTTTAAGTTTCTTTTACTTAGTAGGTTTAGTAATTTTGCTGAGAAATGCTGTTAAATTTTCCGTTTTTACCTTCAGATGGTCCTCTAAGAGACGGTATGGAGAAGTGGAGCGTTTATATCGACATATATCTGATTCTGTCGCTTATTAGTCCAATTTGTACACAAATTATTCTGGAACCCACAAGACCGATAGATCTATGGGACCCATTCGGACCGACGTCAACAGGTCGTCCTCGGAACCAGGTTGGTAATCTGCTTTGTATTGTTTATATCTACAATACATTTTTGCCAGTACATGTCTTGTTAGGGTCTTATGTCAAATGAAGCTGCCGTACGTCTGTCCATTGGTGATTTAATCGGGAAAAAAGTCTTTCTGGAAAATTTACCGTGGACGCCAAGTCAAGATCCGTCTGAACTGGAACCTCAACATCGTTCACATTTTGATTCCAGTCCTTTGCCGGCGCGTAATAACGTTACAATATATACCTTCCTTGGTGTGCCGTACGCAGAGCCACCCGTTTCTCAACGACGTTTAAAGGTGGGCGGCTTAAGTTATATTCCGTGTTTGTGCTGTGATTTTGATCTTAGATTAAACGTTAGTGTCAGGAGAACAACATTCTTCCATTGAATATGTATCTTATCGACACATGCAGTGATGCATGACCGACGTTCCTTGTCTCATTGAAGTCTCCGCTATGTTAAGCTTACTTTCTTCCAGCCTTCTCAGCTTATTCGAGAATTGCCAACAAAACCATACTTGGCATTCCAATATGGGGCAGCTTGTGCTCAAGATGTAGAAAATCGCCCTCAGATCTTTGTCAATGATCCGTATCCATTCACGGTGAATGAAGATTGCTTGTACCTGAATATATTTTCACCAGATGTTGGTTCTTTCCTTACGTGTGTTAGCTTCGGTATCCGTTAAGGGAAATATTCGTAGTTTGTTGTTTAGGTCTCCAAAGTATCGGGTGTTTCCTATCCAGTGGTTGTGTTTCTCCACGGTGGTAACTTTCAAGCTGGTTCAGCAAATGAGTGGCCTGCACATAGTTTGGCTTCTCGGGGTATGGTTGTGGTTACCGTAAACTATCGTCTAGGTGCACTGGGTAAGTTGTTCTCCGCAGTGAACTGTCCACATGTTTATGGATGCGTTCGTACTCGAACGATGTCTTCAATGTGTGGACTAAATTATCACGCATATCTTACCCTCACCGTACTTGTCATTACGAGTGATCATTTAATATGCGGATAATATAGCAGTTCCAAACATTTAATAGACGATTAGTGATAGCATATTTGTAGATTTTCAGTCCTTATCAACTTCTAAGTTCTTTCACAAGTCTTTTTTAAGGCTTCATGAGTTTTGGTGATTCCACTTCTGGAAATTATGGTATAATGGATCAACGACTTGCACTGCAATGGGTGCGGGACCACATAGCGTCTTTCGGAGGTGACCCTCAGGCTGTAACTGTAGTTGGTCATGATGCTGGAGCGGTGTCTATTGGCATGCATATGCTTTCGCCGTTATCGAAGGGTAAGTTCAGGTTTATTACAATTTTTGAATAGTGTCTTTAATTGATGGCACGGAGTCGAATAGTACAACTTCAGCTTACGTGTTTTAATACTTTAGGCCTTTTCCGATCAGCAGCTGTTATGTCTGGTGCTGAAGTCTCCTACCACTCGTATATTGGTAAGCCAGCATTGGCATTTAACAACACCATGAAGCTAGGAAGATATCTTGGATGTACACAGCCTATTGCGTTTGATGTTTGGAATTGTATTTTAACGAGATCAACAAATGACATCGTACGAGCTACAACCGACATACCCATAGAGTGGGTTTTTTAACATGTTGGAGAAACAAATTGAAAAAGTGCTTTGAAATAGGCCAGACGAGCTCCATTTAACTTGCACACTACGCTTTTTTTTGATTGATTTTTTGAAGATAATAAGATCCATAAACAAACAGATAAGTCAGTTCTTACTGCGAACAAGGCTGTTATTCAGGTACAACCGTTATCTTTTTCTTCCTACTGTTGATGGTGTTAACATTCCTGGAAATCCTTTATGGATTTTAAACAATGCTCCAACAGGTTTATCATCTGTACCAAATGCGGTTCCCTTGTTGGTTGGAATGAATGCGCAAGATGGCACTGAAGTTAGTTTGGCGCATCCCATGTGAAGATGTTGGTACAATGTTAGGTAAGCATTCTTTCAGGTGATTTTGGAAAACCGACTTCTGGGCGAGTTCAACGACTTCAATAATGTAGATCAGGAATACTTTCGAAGCTACGCTCTCGAGTATTCTTTTCGGCACAATTACAGTATGAACCGGGAGGCGATTGTGGAGGCGATCATAGATCGATATACATTCTGGCCTGACCCATCTGACGATTGGGCAGTCCGTAACAGTTTCATTCAGTTCGCCACGGACGCGTATTATACTGCACCTATAAGTTTGTCCGCTCATCTTCATTCAGCTTCAGGATCTCGAACATTTATGTACGTCAACAACTATAATCTGTCAAGGAGCGGTTTTATACCAGGTTGGATGGGTATGTTTTTCCTCAATTGTTGTTCTGCTTCCTTATTAGCGAACAAACGATGTTGTGTTTTAGGCTGTTGCAGAGAGTGCGACTTGTATCTACTTTTTGGATATCCTAATGTTCCTGACAATCTTCGTCCTTATCACTTACGTGGTGTTAACTTTACGGACATGGATAGGAATGCTAGTCAGCTGTTCTCGAATATTTTTCGGCGATTCGTATATTATCAGTAAGTTCCATAGTTGATTGGCCGGATCAATCGTTTTCTTATTTCAAGTAGTGTTTTTATAATTTTCTGAATCATTTGCGCATTCCGTATTCATTCGATAAGTCTTTTTTTTTTGTAGAGAATCTTATTTGTCGAAGGGTTTGGTGAACGGTTGCAAAAGTTGAACCTTGACGAAAAGGCGACTATCCGACTTGATTATGAGTACTATACTTCTCTTGCAGAACATTTTCGACCCCCCTCCCTCCTCCCCTCCCCAATAGAGAGGACTTACTGCTTCGTAGTAGTTGTAATTTGGAACGCACAGGGTTACTTAATCGGAAATTTGAACTCATAGTTCTTGGAGCGCCTGCAGGCAAGTGACTTTTTACAGCGTTAATGATCCACGTAACCGTGGGGCGCAGTGTATGGTCACATTGATTGGAGGCCATTGCATTTCTACTTGCCCTTATTCTGTCCAAAGGTTTTTCAAATTTTTTGGTTGATTTCTGACTTTTTTTGAAACCACTTTTATTCCCCCTATTTAGCTAGGCTATTCTCGTTTTAAAAAGAACAATATGTAGATTCAAGAGATTGAAAGCGATTATTGAATTGTGTAGTACACAGTACTGTTACTGTCGGTTAGCGTTTTGTTACAATGTTTCTCCGCGTTCGTTCTTTTCCGTCAAAACGGTAGTAGTACCAAGTCTTTTATGTTTGATTTGGTAGTTGTTAAAGGTAGGACAGTAAACAGATGTTCCTCATGTTAAACTCATTTTAGTCATCAGGTCTGAGATGTTCATCGACATATGTGCGTGATCCATCCTATTTCAGAAACTGGATTTGATCTGTACTGCCTCACTTGAATTACGTAGATGGCCTTTAAGGCGAACTTGTAAAACATGGGGTTATTAAAACAAGATGGTCTACTCCGAGATCATTTTTCTCACCTATCAGGGTTGGTGATGCGGATTTTGTGCAGTTTGTCAATCAATGGGTTTTTTCTCGTTGAAGAGAGTGATTGGGTTAATTGCAAAATGTTGTTAGCCAGTGTTTTGAGTTGGCTTAACCTACTTAGAAAGGTCGTGAATTCATGATCTAGAGTTCCCATCTTCAGTAGCGTTCACATTTTCTGTGGAAACAGTTCAATGCAAGAAAACCAAGCAAGGTGAGGCGCACTGCGACCTCGATTTTTAATATGCTGTCCGATTTTTAGTTCCTGTCTCCCTTTTTGCCGTTCGTTTTCAGTAACAGAAGAGCTTTCTGAGATAGTGGAAGCTGTAGATTTTTGTAGAACACCTAATACTAAGTCGTAATTTCATATCATTAGATGATCATAGGTGATTGAAATATATTAGGAAAGACTGTTAGAGTATTGTTGGTAATACATGTTGTTCCTTCCGGTGTTAAAAATGTTGGAAAAGATGGAATATTGTTGTCCTACTTAAGGTACCAGCGATCCGTTTATTTCACTTTCGGAATTTAAACGTTATGTATAACGATTTGATGTTAGGTTTTATGTCCTTGATTTGCAAGGTCTTTGTAGTTTTCTTATTTCTTCATTTCTTTTTCTTCGTACTATTTATTACATCTTCGAGCCTGTCTCACTTCCAACAGTTCCTCACCTTGCGCGAGTCCCTTTTCTCGCTCATGTCCTAAAATGGACTGCATTTATGGGAATTTTCGCCGATACTATTTGCCTAAATATTTGGTTTTTTATACGAATCATTTTTAGGAATCCGAATTTTCTGTATGATGGTTCGTGGTCTGCGCTTGAACCACGTCGTCATTGGTATTTGAACTTCAACTATTCTCATTGGTCCGAGATGTCGATTCCTGGAAAACTTGAGCGGGATTATCTGTATGCAAACGTAGCATTTTGGAACCAGTACATTCCTGCTCTAGTCAATTACATGACAACTACATTCCCTCCTGCGGAGGTTTCTGTTAGGCGCCAGTTAATGGTCTTTCAATGGGTCGTGGCTATCGTTGTTGCGTTGTTGCTGCTGTTTATCGTTTTAACGGGTGGCTTTGCGTATCAGGTTTGTGAACAATCACAAAGTTCGCATGATATGAAGGAGCCTCATCGCTTGGTTGATTATGCCGATAACTTTATCTCCAATAACTCTGTTTATGATCCTCATTTTCCTCGTGTAAGCAATCTTTAATGTTGTATATTATTGTTAATAGATCCTTTTCTGTACATAATGAGATTGCACACCTAGTATCACTTTTCTTTCACTTGGTACGTTGAGCTGGACTCAAATAAACTATTTTTTGGTTTATGCTATATTGAAAATTTGTAGTATGCAACTCTACTATCTTTTAATTCATATTTCTCTTTAACGCATTTATCGTTCTTTAATGCTAATTTTGAGTTCAGAGGCCTTCAGTTCCGATAATGGCCCAGGTGAAGGATGCAAAAACAAAAAAGGTTTCTAAGGCACTTATTGCCAAACGAAAGGTGGTAAAAGGGCAGAAAATCATGCATAAGAAGAAAGTCCGCACTTCTGTGCACTTCCGCCGACCAAAGACTTTGAAGACCCCGAGAATGCCAAGGTAAGTAAATAAAAGCAAGGTGTTCGATGGTTGGATGAAGCATGAAGTTAATTCTCTTAGGTATCCTCGAAAATCTGCCCCGGCTCGTTGCAAACTGGACTCCTTTGCTATCATTAAGCATCCTTTGACCACCGAGTCTGCTATGAAGAAGATTGAAGACCATAACACGCTTGTTTTTATAGTTGACGTAAGAGCAAACAAGCACCAAATTAGAACAGCTGTGAAGAAGTTGTACAACATCGAGGTGCAAAAGGTGTGCTTTGATATATTTCATGCTTAGGATAGTTATATTTGCTCACTTTTAGATCAACACCCTGATTACTCCACTTATGCAGAAGAAGGCATACATTCGTTTGACAACGGATTACGATGCATTGGATTGTGCCAACAAAATTGGAATCATATAGATACTTGTTGTTTTGTTGTGGTTTGTCTATAAATTTATTGTAATTAACCAGTTGTTGATAAATGTAGTGTCCAATTGACATACCTTAGTATTGATCACGATACAGCGTAGTTTCAAGAGTATCGATTTTCAGATGAAGGAATTGTATGGAAAAGTCCTGAGGCAGTATTCGTGGTTGTTAAATTCCTACATTATCGAATATTTTATTTCTAATCTTTGGGACAGGTTGCCTACGTCGTGGAGAACAACATTTGTGAGAATGGAGGTGACAGACATCAATTTTACTTAGACGAGTGGTGGATGCGGAGCAATAAGAGGTCAGATCGTGGAGTTTAGCTGTAGCTGTTAATTTGAATGGATTAGCACAATTAAGCAAGTGTTGTGACACCATATCGGGTATGAGGGATTCCGTCAAAGTCTTTGCAGTGTTGCAGAGCACGTTTTGATATCGTGTACTGCACTGAGCCTTTACGTAAGTATTTGATACTTAATACTTGGATGGCCCGTCCTCACTGGTGCGGACCCCAGCATAATCTCCATTTTTCGGAAATTTGCTGGTTAATCCATTATGGTTCCCCGGAGTTCCGAGGTCAACCTGGCCAATGTCTGCCCCAGTTCTTCAACACCACAGGCAGTCGCAGCCCTTGTAGACCAGTGGGAGATTTACCACCATGCGACTTTGATACCGGGACGTTGATGGGTAGTGGTATTGGTATACTTTAGCTAGGCTACCTGATGGAAACGCCGGACTCCTCAGCCTGGGAGACCCTGCCAGGAGGTGAGTCCTGCACTGTACATCGCAGTCCGACACCGAGGACACCTCCCAGCCAAGATGAGGCAGTAAACCATTGGGAGGACGTAAGTACCTAAGTATTATTCGGAAGCATATTTTGGTTTCATGAGCTGCGAAGAGCTCTCTTGTCTGAGCGTTACTGGCGTTCATGTGGGTCGGGCTAGTATAAGTCATTTGGTTCATCCCATTATTAATTGTTTGTGATCAATGGTATTATCAATCTCAGGCGACACAGCGTGAGGTGTCATCTTCATATTTTCGGGTGGACGCAAACGGTAGTACACAACACTGATAGGCGATAAGAAATAGTAAGCAAGTTCTCACTATAGTGCCTAAGTATGTGGATGCTAAGCAGGTGGATCTCGTCCAACAGTGATTATTAGGTATTGGTAGACATTATCGTACCGTTGAAGTATTCTGCGTTCCATAGGGAAGGAACTCAGTTTTAGAAACACAACTGATTACTATAACCCGTCTCCCGTACGAACCGTACTACCGTCGGTCGTCGAATGACTCGAGTGGATGTTAGTGGAATCACCATTTACCCGTGTTGCTTGCACGAGCAACTCAGTATGTTCTGTTCGCATCGCTGAGTATTACTTTTATGTTCCGCAATCTTTGTGAAGTATTCTGAGAATTGGGACGATTGCTGTGCAGTTAGTATTCCGTATGGTAGTTGCTAACGGCTCTTGTCTACCGGTTTCCGTTACAGCTCTTCGCCTGCTTGGCCCACTTAATAGGATATTTTGACGTTCAAGTTTTTGTAGAGGTAATCTATGAGATGATATATCCATCCTTCTTAATTTAACAAGAAGGCAAAAGTACGTGGCTGTTTGGGAGGCCAGAGTAAGAGCCGTAGATGGTCTTGTCTAAAGCATTTTGTGAGGCAGTGGCTGTTATCTTTGCGCGATCAATTAATTGGTAATAGTTGAAATATCAGATAATGTTAGCGATGTAATTGGAGAGGTTTTGGCTAGTGCACGTGCGCCTTTTCTCGATCCTGTAGCTTCTGGGTTTGCTGCTGCTTTTCCGTTCTTGAGACCATCGCTTATCGTCTGTTTGCAGAGCTTTAATTTCATGTTTGCGAATTAGTTTGGGTAATTCTGGAGACAGACGTTTCTTTGTGACACTCGAACCCTCGACTTTCATGGCGCTAACGTGCTGTTGAGTAGGTGGGTCATATTCATCGCTAATTTTTTCAATAAAGGCATCTTCACTAGAATCGACTAATGGTCTGAACAGATCCGAATTTTGATGGTTTTGTAATTCCATTCTTTCAATACTGCGGCTTTCCTTTTTAAAAAAATGGATTTTTTTAAATAAAGGAGGTAACGGTCCGATTTTGTGTAATATTTTGATAGAAAAACGACAACTAGAGAGCTCCTTCGACGTACTGTGACGTGATCGATTTCGTAATAACTTTCGTTAGCCTCCCAACGGTTTACCGCCTCATCGTGGTTGGGAGATGTTCCTGGGTGTCGGACTGGGATGTAAAAGCGGGGAATCCATCCCCCAGCAGGGTCTCCCAAGGCAAGGATTCCGGCGTTTCCATCAGGAACCCTAGCTAAGAGTAGACCAATAACAGGATACACCACCGTCCTGGTATCAAAGTCGCATGGTGACAAATCTCCCTCTGATCCACAAGGGCTGCAACTGGCCGTCGCGGTGACGACCTGGGGCAAACTTTGGCCAGGATGTCATTGGGATTCCAGGGAACCACAGTGGCTTAACCAGTAAACCTCCGAAAAATGGTGATTGTGCTGGGGCTCACTCAACTAGTGAGGACGGGCCGTTCAAGTGTCAAGTAAGTAGGTAAGTAAGTAAGTACCCTTCTTTAGAAGTCTACGTTTGAAAGGAGAGCTTCTGAAGTTATGGGTTACCATGGGTACTCTTAGTTGACATTACAAACTCTTCTACTTTATCTATGCATTGATTTCCTGTTATGAGGTTCTTTGGACGTTGTACTGGGTCTGGTCTTAGCATTGAAGTCACCGATAGTTACCTTATATAAAGCATAGCTTTTGCTATGGAATTTCTGCAAGTCCATCTAAAAGAACTAGGTTTCGTTTTCACCATAGCTTGATGTTTGAACGTAGAAAATGAAGATTATCAAAGTTGGTTTTGGCCTACTCTTCTTCAGTCGTTAGCATCAGATTAGGTTTCACAGCAATTGTTGAACTCATTTGGCAGGGAAATCAATGCTGCTGAGTCCTCAGCTAGCGCATGCTAAAAGGAAAAGTCATTCTTGGATATCATGAATGGGCGGTGTCTTACCATCATGACGGATTTCATAACTTCGTTCTAAGTCATTTTAGTTTGAATCATCCGGCTCCTGATTGTAGAATTCAAATGTTAGTGCCTGTGTCTTAAAAGTGCAGGTCGTCACCATATTCTTCTAGATACATGCGACCTAATATGGCTGCCGAGATTTTAGCAGCCTCTTGTAAACTTTCCACCAATCGCCATCATGTTGGTGTTGATGCCAGCAGAGTGAGGCTTTATTACTGTGTTTGGCTATTTATACTAACGAGTAGCGTATCGTTCTCTCCCAGAGCATAACTGAAAATTATTCGTTGTGAGCGACTCCTAAGCAAACCCTCCTAAACCTAGTCAATTGCAGACTTCGAGCCAAATTAATTTGTATATAAGCAAGCATACTAAGGCGCGTATGCATGAATATTTCTTGCGTACATACAGAAAATGTTTGTCAATCCACGTTAGTCAATTCAATTCCGTATCCGCCACCATTTGACGCACCACAAAGGCTCCCGATCTTCATCTGAGGGAGGTCCGCACATGGATGCCAAGGAGGAGGGTATATTAAATTTTCAGCCACAAGACTGTGCTTGCATTCTCAGTTCATCAGCACCTTGTAAGGTCGTTTTACCACTGGCGATTTTGTGCTTGAGGACGATTGTAAACAGTTTACCTTCACGTGAATCTGTAATCTCACGTTCTCATTTGGCAAAAATATGTGGATTCCATACAGAAACGGTTAGTTCCATGTTATTCCTCATAATTGATAGCGTATGGTTGCCTTTTTCGTAACCTCAGACCAACGGTTTCTCAAGTGTGGCTTCAATGGGTCGTTTAAGCGTCAAGTTAAAAGCTAAAAAACGGCATGAGATTGATCGTCTCGTGAACTTTGTGGAATTGCTGAACTTGGGTGAGAATTAGTTTTTTGTTTTTTGATGAACGATACCAGGATTGCTGTCTGATTCATAGGACGATCTTTTCATTCTATCGTCGACATCGGTGCGGGTATAGGTCACCTTTCTCGTATACTTTCCTTCTCACTTCCTGGTTGTTCGATAATCGCTGTGGAGAAGGAAAATGACGTGGGTTTCTACATGATTTTACTTCGAGTTCTATCTTTGCTAATTGAACAAAACTCCAGTTGGTTGAAAAATCTGTACTTCTTAACGAGAGACTTCGGCGTTATTGCAATTCCTTTGTTAATGTGGAACATCGTTGTGAGTCTGTGAGGACCAGTTCTCATAGACTGCATATTTCCGAATTCAATAATGGTAACCTTTTTTCTTCCTACAGTCGAATTTTATGATATTTATGGCTGGTAGAAAATATTGCCCAATTTTAATGGCAACTTTGAACTGCTTTACCTTAGCTCAAAAACAGCATTCGAATCAAAACAAAAACCATTAGGATTTACACATTTTTTTTTTCTGGGATCAGAAATCTGTTTCAGTAGCTTAAAATTCTGAAGTTTCGATGTGATCGTTTTATTGAAGGACGTTTTAGCTGTTTGGTTGTTGAAAATTTTTTGAACTAGCAGTTGTCAAGATGTTTGAAGAAGTGATAGCTGCATAGGAGAAGGTCCCATAAGTATGATAGATGAGTTAGATCGTTAGCTGTGCAACATATGCTTCAACGCTGTAATGCAAGGGTACTGGGTATTTTCTATTGGCTATATCTGGATACATACGTTGCAACTGATGAAAGGTTTCATCGCTGTCGTGATATTACTTCTGCGTTGGGATTTTTTTGCAAGGTTTCAAGAGTTATTGTATCATACCTATTGCAGAAGGCGAAAAGCATTTGATGTATCTTAGACTTTGGAAAACGTTTTTGGAGCTTCACAACAACACAGCCACACGCTGGAGTACATCGGTTCTCGTATAAAATACATTCTTGATCCCGCGTCGCAAGGGTTCGAGGACTACGTCTTTTTTATTGTATAAAAGAAGTGAAAAGCGGACTTCACGACTATGATTTCTCGTACTTTGCTCTATGTGCTGCCTACTTGTCGAGTTTTTTCACCTTTGAAGTTTTTGTTTTATGACAAGCGAGTGGGCCCTGGTGGGAGGCGCACTGCAATACACATGGGATCCATCTTGGTGCCCCAGGCCCACCAAAAGCTTTATCCTTTCGGAGTCGCCAAATTAGTACCACACTTGTCTAAGAGGATAGCAGCACTGGCTGGATTCATCGGTAGGCCACCGCGAGTCATTGTAAAGGCCAGTTATGCGTTCAATCACCTCCAAACGATGCTTAATGAAGTTGAACGCCTGAGTCGTCCCTCAGTGATTGATCAACACTTGAGAGCTTTATCCTTTATGTTTTATGAAAAGCGAGTACTTGTTGAGTGGTTAACAATGTGTTCTTCTGCGGCATTCGGAGATGTTTTTAGCGTGGGGCACCTTCGACTTTTGCCTTCAGGTGGTCATTGAAAATTGCTGATACGAAACGTTAGAAACTTTCTGCATACTGTGCATTCAGAAACATTTCCTGGTTCGTGGTTCGGTTACATTTCCACTCACGTGCACTGAAATATGTTTAATTTTGAGCGCATCTATGACAAGACAAGATTTCCTTGTCTAGACAACTATAATGAACCCGTCATTGTAAATTAGGTGCTACACAGCAATAATTCATGGTAAATAGTCCTTAAAGAAATACGCTTTAAAATGTTATACCTCAATAGTGTAAGTACACAATGTACAACTTTTTTTTGCAAGTTTCGTCACGACAGAAACGGCTTTTGCTTTTCTGCCAGGCAATAAAAGTAAGCATTCATGGTTGTTCTTTTTGCTTTTAGAAAATAACCAAGCCTTTGATTGCCGAATCAGAGAAACAACATAGACTGTGTTATATCAGGCTTAATATAATCGCTTGTTTTGCACTGTGATCCCACTAATAATTCAGTAATACCAAACACACACCAGTTAAACTCTTCACCTTTGCGAAAGATGTTCGGTGGACTCCGCTTGTTCTCAGGGAAGATGAAAAGCATCCCCGCTTTCTGTATGGCGTTCCTTATTTTTAACATTCCAGTGGATTCGGTGGCTATTGGTAGCTCACCAGGTTATAGTTGGGCTTCCAGTTAGATTTGTCTAGTTACTTCATAGTATGGATAACAGGTGATGTGAACTTTCCACTGCCTATCCCTGTTCGACATCCACGAACACGCGCCAACTGTCATGAGGTAATATACCATTTATTAAAGGATAAAATCAAGGATAAAGCTTACGGAATTGTTCAATCTTTGAGGAATGTGCCACGGATTCCACTTCACTAAGCATCGTTAGAGGTAGTTGAGTGCTGCATATTTGGACTATACTATAAATTACCGTTGCCCACATGCATACTAAATCACTGTTTTTATCCTCCTAGACAAGTTTGATGCCACCAGCTTGTGAATCTAGAGAGATGAGAAGTTTATTTCGCGTGGTGCGCGCGATCGAACCGATGACCATGTGTAGCTCCAACCAATGCGCTGTCTTTGTGGCGAGAACCAGCAATAAACCATGAGGGGTTACACATAGTATTTCGTCACCACATTTGTTTTCTTCCTAGAAATGCTTTTTCTAATGTACTATTATGAAAGCCGTAGATGGTATATTAGACCATGTCACGCGCTTATAATTGCTCAAAAGTTTAAATAAAAAGCGCTCGACTCTGATCAATCCCTGAGGGATGCGCTATGCATTCGACTTCATTGAGCATCGTTGGAGGTGATTGAATGCATATTTCGTCTTTACAATGACTCGCGGTGTCGTACCAATGTATGGAGTCAGTGGTGATATCCTCCAAGACAGGTCTGGTACCAATTTGCCGACCCTGGAGGGATGGAAGGCTTGGTGAGCCAGGGGCTCGGTGATCGATTCCTTGTGTGTGTCGCAGTGGTGTCTCCGACCATTGCGCCATGTGCGCTCAAAAGTTTAGCTTTTACTATTTCAGATCAGAGGGCACTAGTCATTGGTCTTCATTCCTGTGGTGATCTGTCATCTTCCATTCTTCGACTATTTGTAGAGTCACAAAATGTGGTTGCTTTGATACTTTTTGGATGTTGCTACCATAAACTAAGTGTCATTGATGGGGAACAAAACGACTTTAGTGAGGTAAGATGATGGCGATTTGGATTTTTTTGTTTTGAGATTTTACCGGATATTCTTATTAAAGAGGGAGCTTCTAGGGTATACCACAGGCTTTCGGATTCCCTTTAAGTTCAAAATATAGCGAACTATGCTTTTCGCGTTGTGCTCTTGATCTGGCTTGCCACAGTAATGAAAACTACGTCATGCAGCTATTGACTAAGGTTATCCTGTTACCATTTGGATATTTTGTAATACTCTTACATTTGATTATGTTGTTTTGATTTCCTAGTGAGACCTTCCATTGCTGTTTTTATTTCCTATTAATATTAATCCTTAAAGTTAATAGAAAATGGTGGGAAATGATTTCAGCCTCATAGTTCTTATCGAATGCAATGCTATCGAGCGGTGTTAGAATGTTTAATTGCTAACCATATGGACGACGAAATACGACGTCGGCGAACTTCGTTGGTGATGAACTCAGTTGATGGCAATAAGGAACCACTTTTCGAAGAATATGTAAAGCTAGCTTTAGCGAGATATCCGGACATGATAGAAGCTATTTCCGTGCAGGTATTATTGTCAAACGTAACGATGTAAAGGCGATAAGGATGTTTTTTTATACCGTTAACGCTGAGTTGAGCACCACTCAGTGCAGTCATGCAATCGTTTCCTCGTTTTCATGAATGCTTATTGAACTTGACTGACGTTGACTTATTGTGGTCCCGTTTTGTTGGGATGTTTGGAAGCCGCCAAAGCTGTCCTAGATATAGAGTAGCCTGAATTACACGCTGTGATGATGTCGTAGATGTTTTTCGTGGTTTCTAATATTGATGTCGTATTGTGCTTCTGTTTAGATTGCAAATGACGACAATGCCAGCACACTGATCAGTTCGGTGGACGATGAATGGCGACGCCTTTTGGTGGTGCATTGCATCCGTCTACTCTTTGCTCCCATCGTTGAGCATGTTATCATTGAGGATCGGGTACAATTCCTCCGCGAGCGTGGACATTCAGTATTTGTCGTTCCTCTGTTCGATCCGAAGATCTCGCCAAGAAACCTTGCTATTGTTGCGTTTAAGAATTTTTGCGATGATTGTTAACATCTTAACTAGTTCTAGTATCCTTCTAAGTTGTATCTGTGTATTGTAAAGGTGTAAGTATTCCTTTTTGTTATCATTAGCAATGAACGAATGAAATTATCCTGTACTAGATACAGGCATGTTAGTGAGTATTGTTTGAATATATCTGTTTTAGAAGCTTCCCAGATAATATGTAATGATTATTTCACTCCATTTTGAAAGTTACTATCCGCAAATTGATCTCTAGCCATGTTACACTTCCATAATCGGGTGTTTGCCTACAATGTGAACGTAGTTAAGTTGTTTCTTAGCTCTCTTTGGAATGAAATACGTGTTTTCTCGATAGGAGGTGTTTGGTCTATGTGATTGTAAATGTAGGAAATAAGTAACGGTTGTTTAAGATCTTTTTTGTACGTATTTAAGACATTGTTCTGTTAGCAATTGACTTGATTTGGTTTATGCTATTTTATATATCCTAATAGTGTTTTATCGATCAAAATGATCGCAGTGTTATGAAGAAGGCCAAGGCGCCGAAACCATAGCTGAGTAAACCTTTTACATCTATGTCGTGTTAGCTCAATAGTCCAAGAAAAGTAATTCACGGACTTAGTTTTTATTAAGTCATTTCATGCTTACTAATCGCCGTAAGAAGTGTTTGATATCCTCTCATTCAGCGCTAATGCTTTCAAAAGTTGTGCGAGGAGGTGATAACTCTATGTGGAGGTATGTCCGTGCTTACAAATCGCGCGGGCCTCATCCCACTTTCTAACAGACTGGGTTTTGGTTGTGCAAATTTTTTTTTCAGGAAAAGAAAACTATTCGTCCTATAAACATACTTTATGACTGTAACGATTACGTTGAAAGGAATCCTATTGTAATTGTTCTTATCTTCTCATGACAACCCTGCTGTAACCTTCTAAGTAATCCTTTCCAGCGCCATGTTCTTATGTATGTGTGGAGGTCTTCTCAAGGTTGGGAAATTTCGGTGCTTTTTACTGCTTTAAGAAGTAAGTAAGCATTTGTAGCTAGCTGGATTTCGTCATGAATATGGTTGTATTCTTGGTTAGCTAGTTCCACCCACAGAGAGGATATTTGTTGTAGGTGATGTGAACTACTTTCTATTCATTTCTCACTACAAGGCTTATTCTAGTCAGCGTTTAGCACTATTGTCGCTATCTGAGATATCTGGAATCTGGGGAGTAGTCAGTTTGAGATCTGTTAATACACAATCTATGTGATGCATTATAAGCAATGCATGGTTGAGGACAGTTGGGTTGGAACAACATGCGCGTTTTATGGACAGTGCATTTCGTTTTAAATGGTTCATCTTAAGAGTGATTTGGTGTTCACAGGGTGTTTGTTCATTGGTGAGTTTCAAAATAGTTTATCCTTATAAACAGTTATATAGTCTTATTACAGTAACTTCTATTGTTTCCAACGTTTTGCTTAAGAACACTTGTTTTAGAATCTATAATCTCCACCTTTCGTGCATATATGCAGTTTATTAATCCACACTTCTAATGGTTGACCGCCTCATCGTGGGCGTCAGCTGTTCCTGGGTGTCGAGCTGCAATGTATAACGGGCAGATTCATCCCAGCAAGGTGTACCATGCTAAGAAGGAGTTTCCATCACGAAGCCCAGGTAAGAGTAGACTAACAGCAGGATCCCTCACTGTCCTGGTACCAAACTAGGTGGTAAATCTCTCTCTGTTCCACAATGGCAGCGACTGCTTGTGGTGGTGACGATCTAGGGCAAACCCTGGTTGGTAGACTTGGGAGCTAGGAAACCACACTGGCTAAACCATCAAAACTTCGAAAAAATGGAGATTATACTGGGCCCGCACAACTAGTGAGGGCGGGCCATCCAAGTAAGTACAGTTTCCGTAATTGAGCAATGATGCTATATTCCCTTATATTCCACTCTTAGACATCATTACAAAGTATCTCTAAGCTACTGTTTTGTTTATTGTTTGAGTGGTTTTCGCATAAATTTTCATACATCTTCAGGTGTTGCGTGATAATCGTTTTTCCTAGTTCTGTTCTACTATATTAATAATCCCTCCTAACGGTTTACCGCCTCATCGTGGCTGGGAGGTGTTCCTGGGCGTGGGACTGCGATTCACAGCGGGCTCATTCATCCGAGCAGGGTCTTCCAAGCTAAAAAGGAGTCCGCCATTTTCATCCCAACTAAAAGTGAACCAATGCCAGGATCCACCGCCGTCCTGATATCAAACTAATCGCATGGTGGCAAATCTCCTTATGAGCAACAAGGGCTGTGACTGTCTCTGCTGGCGGCGACCTGGTGCAAACTATGGCCAGACTATACTCGGGATTCCAGGGAACCACAATGGATAAACCAGCAAATCTCCGGAGTGCAGAGATTATGCTGGGGCACGCACACTTTACACACAAGTTGTAACTCTTACCGCGAGTAAACAATTTTCACGCAGAATTTTCTTGTATACATTTTTCCAACTGGAACTTTCGCATTTTTTACTATAGATATACACTCTCCAAGATCGTTGTTGAAACATTCTGTACAGTAATCTTTCCCACAATGGTTGGATCTAGTGCTAACTAGCTTAGCGTGTTTTGTGAAGTGTTTGTAACCACAACTACATGACATTGACTTATAACATCCTGCACATTATCTCCACTTGTGTTAAAACTTATGCATACCATTTTTTCTAAGGAGATCACATACGAACGGAGTTGTCCATTTGGATGAGCTGTAATCTTGCCGTTTGTGTCGATGAACGGCTTTACCTGGTTGTACTTCCAATAATCATCCGTCTTGGTAAGTTCTAGGAAACGGAGTCTTCGTAAACTGCAGACATAGTGATCATATCCGTATCATTTTTCCAGTTTAGCGTCATGACACCACTACAGCTCTGCTGTGTTGTCTATCCTTAGATGATCTGGCTGGCAATTCCTTTTCTGTTCCACATGCGGCTACCAATAATCCATTCTTCTTTCATTGGGTAAGGTCAAGGTTAGTCAACAGGCCTTCAAATCTACATCTCACTGTAGCGTAGGCTTGTAGGCCGCATTAGTTTTTTATTCAAGAGCAATACGGGAACTCCGAAATTCCCTACACCATGGGAGTCTGATAAGTTCCCTCCTAATACAGAGCCTGTGAATCTTTCATTTTTTTCTGAGAACAGTTCCTTTTATAGTTAATTTTTGCAACTCTGCACTATAAATTGCTATCAGATGTTAGCTGTAGGTAATCGACAAAAATCTACCTGGTTTCTGCAACGAGGTACCTTAATTGTCGATGATTTATGAAGGGTTATCGGAAAACCAAAGCATCGTCCATAATGTCAATGTGAATATTAAGTTCACTTTTTTTAGTATCAGTTATTTCACTTGCAATGGCCTTAATTAACCGTGTTTATCCTATGGAATGAGTGGGTCTAAAAAAGAACTAAAGATTTCAAAATCTTCACAGCAGTGTTATTTTGTGGTGAACCATAGTAACATAAAGTAAGCAAACACATCATCCTTAGCCTAAAAGCAACCATAACCTCTTGTATACGCAGTTCCCTTACCGATCTACGCAGGTCACCTACCAATAGCTCGTCCTTCTTAGAGATCGCCAGCGAACTATCTGCTTCAAGAATGCTTATTCTATCGAAACATTCACTATTTTCTCGCACAATTGCAACATTCGGACAGCTGTCAATAAGGAGTTTATTTTATAGATGAGGGGCTAACATTGCTCTATATTCTTTTGAAATCGTCTTTTCAAAATCTACAGAATAGTTATATTTCTCCGGAAATTTGTTTCATTTGCATTTTTTTTGCTGTTTACGAATCAGAGTATAAACTTGCCGTGCTACTACCTAAATTGTCTTCTTATCGTAAAGTGAACTGGAAAAGCTGTCCATTAAAGGCTAGGTGGCTTCTCTGCATTATTTTGCAGTTACTTCTTTTTGTTTTCTCGTTAGCAATTCTTCATTTTTTGTTGAGAAATTCTTCATTTTTCCTACATTTCCTGACGAAATACTTCTGCGGATTACAGAACTTTTTTCGTTCAATTCGTTTTCTCTCCTTCGTTATCCACAAAGGTTTCATGCATTCTTTTCTTGTGAGCTCGGACGGTGCTTAAGGGTTTTGGTCTTCATCAGGGGTGTCGTTGGATACTGGTTGTGCGGTTTCTTATTGGAGTACAGGGAAAGTGGTGCTAATACTAATCTAGGTCTTCACCGCGTTATGTTACCAGTCTTTTTAGATCGAATGTGGAGCTTTCCAGATAATCTTCTAGTCTCGGAACGATACCCACTTCTATTAGTTCTATGATTGCAGGCGCAAATTCGGAACAGCCACAGTACTTTGAAATCTGTCTGGTCACCAGTCTAGCCGAGGAGTCCTCCTTGAAACGTAGTTTTTTTTTTTAAAATTCTGTCCAATTCTTCTATTTTAGTGGCTTATTTTCATGTTTTAGTGAAATCATGGCATAATAGCGAACGACATGAAACATGAGAAATGGGTTCACTGTTCTCATTGGTAGTTCTGGTAGTTCCGAAAGTCATCGCTTGCACTCACTCACAATCATTCCATTAGTATATAACACTTATGTAGTCTTTGTAATAAGCCTTTTTTTGGTTACAGTTTATGTTAAGTGATCGGTAACATGTTATGATGAGGCTTCAGATATTGCCGTTGACATGTAGCATCTCCATTTTCTGCGATACGTCGGTGACAATCGACTTGGTGGATAGGTATGGGCAGATAAATTAATCGTGCAATAACAGACTATGCATGAAAATCGTAGATCTGAATAAGTAGAAACTGTTCTGATGTCTGAATATCGTGTATTGTTTTTTGTTTCTTTCTTTCTCTTCGCATGTGGCGCAGTGGTTGGAGGCACCACTGCGACACACACAAGGAATCGATCCCCGCGTCCATGGCTCACCTAGCCTTCCAACTCCCCGGGGTCGGCAAATTGGTACCAGACTTGTCTGGAGGGATAGCAGCACTGGCTCGATGCATCGATAGGCCACTGCGATTCACTGTAA